GAACCTTTTGGAATCACCACCCTTAGCTCCTTGTTGGCCAACATACTTTATTTTCTTGTTGGTTTTATGTTCCTCTTCAATCACATGTGTCTTTGACTCCATGGAATAATTGCTAACTTTATTTTCGGATACTCTATTGTCCTCCTCAATCCTCAATCTCACGATCAAGTCTTCAAGTTTCATTTCTTTACGGTTGTACTTCAAATAATTTTTGAAATCCTTCCAATTTGGCGATAATTTTTCAATAATTGTAGCCACTTGAAAAGATTCACTAAGCACCATCCCTTCGGCATGAATTTCATGTAGGATCACTTGAAGATCTTCAACTTGACTTATGATAGTCTTGAAATCCACCATTTTGTAATCAAGGAATCTACCCAAAATGAATTTATTCATTCCAGCATCCTCCGTCTTGTATTTTCTATCCAATAATTCTCACAGCTCTTTAGCCATCTTAATTGGACTATACACATTATATAATGTATTATCCAATCCATTGAAAATATAATTTTTGCATAGAAAATCAGAGTGCTTCCATGCATCCACCGCAGCAACAACTTGGCGGTCAATTTCATTCTCATTACAAACAGGAGCATCCTCACGAATAAACTTTGTAAGATTCAACGTAGTGAGATAGAATAACATTTTTTGTTGTCATCTCTTGAAATCGTTCCCATTGAACTTTTCGGGTTTCTCCCCATGAGACACATGAGTAGGAACAGATATAGGCACCACAGGCACAACATGATTTGTAATCATAAAATCAGTATTATCATTTGCAGCCATTTTTGATAAACAAAGAATATTCAAAAATAGAAAAATTGTAAGTTTATTAAAACATAAACAATGTCACTGTTTTAAAGTTACTGGTTTAACGTTTCTGTATGATGTCACTGTTTAAAACATACACATAAATAAAGTCACTGTTTGATGTGACTGTTTAAAACATAGTCACTGTTTGACGAAACTATATCAGTTTTGGTGTAACTGTTTGACTTTAAACACAAAAACATAACATAAATTTTTTTTTTTTCCAAAAATTTTCCAGTCTCAAAATATCACAGATTGTAAACAAACAAGCTTTTTAACAATTTGCAATATTTTGAATTCTAAAACATGTATCAGAAACACAACAAGTAATTAAACTAATGAACATCTGTCTTAAGATTGTTGAACGTGGTGTTCTAAAATTGTAAAATTACTTATTGATATTTCTGATATCATGTAACTTAAAATAAAACAAACAGTAATGTGAACTGTAGAACCGTAACACAAATCAATACAGTTACAGTAAACAGTTACACAGAATCGAAAAAATTACAATAGACTTATGAAACACGAACGAGTTACAACAAACAGATACACGTAATTCTATGCCAAATTAATGTAAAAACTAACCCGGTTGCAGAACAGGAACTGTTATTGAACTCGTAGTAGATCAAGACTAGTATTTGACATTATGTCTTTAAGACAGATTTCACCCCCACATACGGAACTTATGGAATCCAAGCGTCTTCCTCCCAAGAGACAATGATCTTCCATGAACACAAGTAACACTTCAATCTATTCGTACAGCGAACCAAAACTTGTGTCGTGTACTCTGTAAGCGTACTGTCTTAGATACCTTAATGCATACTGTTTAATGTTTTAATGGACTGATTAATTGAATGAATATAATGAATGCATGCATTGAGTATTTATAGATAGTCTGGTGACTGTCTGGACAGACACCTCACAAAAGGACACAACCCAAAAACAAAAATCAACCTAGCTAGCGGACACCTTGAATAATTGTTCTTCATGAACAGTCACATCTTGAAAATTTCGGATTGGAGCAAATTCGAACTATCCAACGGGTTCGGACTGGAGCAAATCCGAATTATTCAATGGATATCGAAATTAATTTTGGGTTAAGAAATTTATGCCCAATTAATCAAATGAATTTTTTTCAAAAAAGATAGGGGCGGGCGGCGCGCGTGTGTGGTAGACCCAACGACATGTAGGTGCTCACTCCGCTCATAAAATTGTGGTACCCTTGGGGCCCAACCCATAGAGCAAACTTGAACTATATATGCCCATGTTGAATTTCTTACTCAACCAATATAGGATTGATGTCAAATCCCACATTGCACATCATTTATTTTCACTCTTCAAGAGGGTCATTTTAGAGTCTATTTTCTCATTCATTTTTTATTCGATTTGAGCAAGTGAATATTCCACGTTATACTCCTCACGGAGTAGAATATGAACCCACGAAAAATTATTCGAAATAACTAATAGGTCCCACTTTAATTTAGGCTCAAAGTTAACCAAAAACTTTGTTTTTTTTTTTTTTTTACACTAAAAAATTACTTTTGGTCTAACAATTTTCAGTTGCGAAAAAATCATATCACGGTCCTGCATACCTTTTTTGACCCGAGAGGCGAGGCAAGGCAAGGCAAGGCAAAACCATTTTTAGGCCCTTGCATTTGGAAAAGACAGTTTAAACTTCAAGGCATACAATTAAATGTTCAATTTTAGTTTGGAATCTCATTGCTATTGGTTTGAAGCCAGTCAATAATCACTTCTGGCATATGTTAATACTAGAGTATTCTGCGCAAATCACATTTTTTTTTCTATTATTGTAGCTAAAATAAGTGAATGGTGAAGAAATTTTTATTGTTAAAATGTAAGTGAGTTGATAAAAATATTGCTAAAATATGCTTGCGGATAAAATATTTATTATGATTAAAAGGTTAAATATAAATATACAGATTTACTATAGTAAAAAATTTAAAATTATAATATAAGACACGGAATTAACCATTATTATATAGGTAAGATAATGGGGTCCACTTTATTTATTTTCTATTTTTTTTTATTTTGAAAGTTATACCACGTGTCAATACTGACATGGTATAATTATTACACCTAATATTTACTCGTTATTGAGGAGTAAAAATTGCATGTGACGGTGACACCATACTATCTCTTTCACATGGTGTAACTACTCACTGAGAACAAAGTGTAATCCACTTCTATATATAAGGTAATTATTGCATGATATGAATATATAGTTATTTAATTATGTGGGATTCATTTGTTTATTTATTGTCTTATCATTGAACGGTTATACCATATCACAATAATGACGTAGTATAACCGTGACACTCAATATTTACTCCTAATCGGGAGCAAAACACAAAAGAAGAAGGTCATATCATGGTGCATGCATATACTTACCATCGTGAGGGCATGAACTTTATTTATTTTTATATTTCAAGAATTCAGTACTCCACAAGGAAGGGGAGAGCATATTCAGGGGCGAGATTGAAACTCACATGGTTCGATCGTGTGGGTGGGATGATGCCCTACCAGTACATTTTGTCTCTTGGTCTCGAGGGTCTGAATTATATTTATTTAAGAATCTAGTACATAACATGGGGGAGGGGGACACTTACCATGAGATTCGACGAGGAGATGTCTTTTCCACTAAACTATCTCCCCTTGGTCTCGAGAGCATTTGATTTTATTAGTTGTGTCAGATTTTGTTTGGTGTGTAGATGGCACATCTTCTAAGACTCTGTGTTATATCTTAGTATGGATAATATCATATTGAGAGTGTCTTTTAGATAATTAAAATAAGGTTAGAGTGTTTATTTTAAGAGCAATGTTGTTGGAATCTAATTTATTTATCTAATTTATTGTTGATCTAATGATTCTAATTAAATCACATCATTAGATCAACAAATTAGATTAAATTTTTAAGTTCAAATAATATTACTCTTATTTTAAAGTTAGAGAACTAGTCGTGTAAAACAAATTTTGAGCGAATCAGTTTTGAGTCAAATTGAGTTTTGGAGGTGTTTAAACTTGACCAAGGTGAATAGGTAACTTTTTAAAAGTTTTTAGATGAAAATAACATTAAAAAAGGATGGGGAACATCGAAAAACCGTAAGGAAGACTTAGGGGCCGATTGGCGAGGTACAGGGGCAAAAGAGTAATTTCACGACCAAAAGGTCACAAAGTAAGATTTATGCAGAGGTTCCATTAGTCGATCCGTAGAACAGTTCGGTCGATTGGATGAGCTAATCAGTCGACCGGACTCTAAAACCTATTCTCTCATTTTTCACTCACTCTACCTCCAAAATACTCACTCTTCCTCTCTCGTGTATATTGCATTAGTCTTTTTTTCCAAATCATCATGTGGTTCTTATTTATTTATTTATTTTGTGGGGGGGGGGGGGTCAAATGATATATTTCTTAGTTGAAACGTAAGTATACAATGAGGTTTTGTTGATATTGCGAAAAAATCTTAGAAGATTACCCTTATATGTGAATTTTCTTGAAATCCTAGCTCTAATTTTAAATGGGCTTTCAAATGGATTGAACTATTGTCATGTACTATAGATTTATCATTCTTTGCATGATTTGTGGAAAACCCTAACATGTCTTAAAGGTGATTTTTCATATAAGTGTGACACTTGCATGGTTTGATGGTTGTGAAACGTTGGCTTGGGCATGATGTAGAAACATGGTTTGGATTAAACTTGATTTGACCACATTTATCATTCTTATACTCATTGTCTTCAATTCTTTTCATCCATTGATCAACCGATTTAGTATTTTACCCATGTACATTTTCTCATTCGACTTTGTATCCAGTGTGACACATTACACCTTCAATCTCTCGCATCAAACTTGTGCTGCACATTAAGAGTGTTTGCTATTATCAAAATTTGAATAACCAAGCAAAGGGTTAACACGGAATTGATTCCCCTCTGTTTTAGCTCAGACTACAACACCGATTCCTACTGCTCTGAGATATATTTTCTAAATCCAAAAGAGGGGGGAATCAATTGCGTGTTTGGAATTAATCTATCCAAGCTGCCTTGTTCCTATTAAACCTTGTACAAGCCAAATTGCGTTTTTGGGCTTTTGTTTGTTTGAGGTGTTCCAATTTGTAAAACTAGATATAAACATAAACAACAGTCCAAACAAAAAACTGAAAAAAACAGTAGTAACAAAAAATGATGTTTTTCAGACTTCATTGGACAAGGAAAGAGTTAGAAAGTTACAGAGTTCCACAAGGAAACTAGCGAACAACTTGAATAAAATAACTGCAAGAGTCCCATTACCAAATAAATATTACCCTGGAAAACATCCAAAAACTACTCATAGCCATGGGGGCAAAAACCACCAACTCTTTTGGGTACATATCTAGTCAGAATCAGCAATATGACATTTTCCTCCAATGTGGAAGACTGTATAATACCCAAAATATATCCTTCCATATGCCTAGAAAAATTGCAATACTTGCAGAGAACGCACTGTTTTCTTAAAACCCATACCTAAACAACAGCCATCTGTCTGGAACGATAGTTTCCATTTAACTATTGCAACGAATCTTGCTTTGAAATTCAATGGTTCCCCACAAAGAGGCATTGTAGTTTCCGTATGTATAACTGTCGAAGTTGTTATTTCTTTCAAAACTGCCTCCCAAACCCTGGTAGCTGAAAAAGGGTAGTCTCAACTCCTCATTTACCCAAAACACATTGCACTGGAATGAATTTAGATTAAAGCACTCCAAAGAGCTTCATCCCCTTCACCACACTTTTCATGAACAAATTTGATGTTCTCCACTGATTTGCAAATGCCACTGCAGCTCCAATCAAATGATGCAATGCATACATTACCTGCTTGTGCCTTCCATTCGCAATCTGTGAAGTAGCGATGATGTAAATAGATATGCATTTGAAGTAAACTGCAGTGGAAAACACCACTATTTAATAAATATGCACATCCAAGTCTAGATCAACCCTGAACTTGATAGTTCTACCGAACATATACAGTAACTTAAGCTTAAGATTGTTGGATGGCAGTAGACCGACTAAACTATTCTATTCAGTGAGGGAAAATGAACACTTTTTGTAGTGTGGGAAAGGCAGAGAGTGAGAAATTGAAAGGAAATATAAAACTCCAGCTGTATCTGATAAGAACGCCCAAATTCCAAAGAAATTCTATGAGTATCATTTTATGGTTTGGAAAGTATCAAAGTTACAAGATATGCTTTTATTTTTCTGAAGTAGCGGATTTGTCACCATTTGATCCTCTTTACCCAGATATACATGTTTTTTGAAGAGGGGAAAAATATGAAAAAAATCTGAAAGTAATTCAAATTCATCGGGGAAATTAAAGAAACATACACATGCTTTGAATCTGTCGAATAAAAAAGAGTTTGTGCATAGAGAGTGGACCAATAGGGAACACAACAAGATCTTAATTTTCTTGTACTTTCTTGGAGAGAATTGATGGGTTATTTTTCAGAAAAGCAAACGGTTGAAACTTGAATAATTGTTAGTAGAGTTAACGAAGAGGAAGAGAAGAAGAAGAGAGGAAGAAAGAGAATATGAAACAATATTGTGTGTCGGGGTTGCATTGCCAACACCCTATCACGAATTATATATTGAAAACAATTACAATGTTAAGAAAGTAGAACATAATAGAAAAACCACATAATAGAAAAGTAGAACAAGAAGAAAATAACATAATAAGAAAGTAGAATAATAGGAAAGTAATACTTCCCTCAAGTAGGGAGCATAAAGATAAAAAATGCTTGGTACAAAAGCCACTGAGGGTAGGCCACGCCAATGGATTGGTGAGAAAATCATTGACTTGGCTGCAAACAGGGACAATTAAGAATGAAAAAACCAAACTGCGTGATTGCTTCAGACCATTCAGGTACTTCTCCAATCGACACACACTGATATAATACTCCCCCTGAGCAACAAATCAAGGTGGTTGATCTATGTAAAGTCTAAGACATCCCTTTGGTTTTCTAGAAAATCAATTAACAACCACAGCAAAAAAGCAACAACAAACAATGATCAAGATAACACAAAAGAAAAGAACACGGTAATGGCAAAGGAAAAGAAACACAAAAACATAGCACCGTTACCACCAATATCGGCGGCACAAATGAACATAACCAACGACACCATAAAGAACCATATTCAACAACAAATTAAAACTGCAAAAATCAAAAATAGGGTAAATCAAGCGGAACTGAAGTCTCCAAAATTGGTACTAAACTAGGCTGAAAACAGTAAAGTTGAAACTGAAATAGGATGAAAACCACTAAAATAGCACCAAATTGTGCAAAAAACCATTGGCCCAACACTAAACCAAATTAATAACATTGGATTTGGCAAAAGACCACTAAATCAGGCTGAAAACAGTGAATTGAAATTAAACTGGGATGAAAGCACTTAACCAACAACAAAGTTGAAAATCACTAAACCGACCTGATAAAACTAAAATTTGCGCCTCATGATCTGACACCGAAGACACGGCCATGGATTCAGGCATACCACAATAACTGATAATGATCGCAACAACCGTTGAACAACCATAGATGATTACAGCTTGATGTGTCCAAGGTCGACCCAACCACTAGGCAAGTGAGGCACTTGCGTAGGGCTGGGCTCCAATCACCCAAGTATCTTGTTATTGATACCAAGTTAAAATTTGAATAATTGTATATTAGAGTTAAGGAAGAGAGAGGAAAAAAAGAAGAGAGGAAGAAATAGAATAACAATATTGTGTATAGGGTGTGTGTTGCCAACACCCTATCACGAGTTATAATAAATAAAGAACATCTAGTTTAGTTCCCATTAATGGAGGTCTGAGAGGGAAAGATTGGGTACAGACTTAATCCTTAGCATTACTTTTCACAAAACATCTGCCCTTAGGTTCGAACCAACAAACTCAATGTTATTAGGCCAAATCTTAACCAGTAAACTAGCGCTCGTATTCAGAATTTTGTTTAAATTAATAAATTTCCAAAGAATAGTACCTGGTGGAGTTCCACAACACATATTGCGCTCATCAATGTGCTCAACTTCAAGACCAATAAACCATGAGCCAAGCGACACATCTTCATTAGCATACTTGTGTAAAATGGGCCTACAATCACAAGTAAATTTTAGCAATGTCCAAAAGATTAAAAGAATATGTTATGTTTGAATAATTGAAAAAATTTATTGCAGGGTCCACTACTATGATCACAAGAATAACCAGTATCCTGAAACAAGGCCAACTTTTGTTGAACTCCCAAGATTATTTACCTTTACACCTCAATTTCATTAATTAGCAGTCCCTAAATGTAGATTATGTAAGAATTTTGCCCATTTATATTTATTTACATCCCAATGCTTTAAATAGAACTGATTTATGAGAGGGCGCCAGATGCACACAAACAACCAAATATGTATCTCAGCAAGTAAGAAAATGGTCATCACATTTACAAAGCATGAGCTTTCTTAACACTCAAGTATACTCATGAGAAAGAAAATTGAGCTCCCTTACTGGTTAATTGAGATGTATGTAGCCAAATCCTTTGAGATGGCATAAATCTGCCCGGTTGCATGCCTGAAGTATTTATTCCCGTCTTCCCCAAATTTCCAGTACTCTGGTTCATGGTACTTAACATTCCTATTGAACCAAAAAGAGTTAATGTGAAGAAGAACAAATGTACCACTATTGCAAGAAGGCAAAATTTAAGTTGAAAAGACAAATCTTCATCACTAAGAAAGCTCTAGGATTACTTTTGAGAAAGAACAGGCCCAGATTTCATACACCCAATGTAAACTCTAGGCTTTGAACGATGGCGGGCAAGAGTTGCAGCTAGCATACCTATAGAAGCAGAACACATAACAAAGATGAGTTAAACAATGGTAACAATCTTCTAAAAGACGAGGGAGAAGGAAAAAGGTGGACAGTCTATACCCAAATTGACATGCACATCATCGTCAACCTTGATATAGAAATCAGCATCCCATTTTGCAATAGCAGTGGAAAAGAAAATTTTTGTTTTTGCAGACAATTCATGATACCCTTCAACATGCTCCTACACAATAATGCAGATTGTGGTTCATGATATGGTGAGATATCCCAACATAAAATTCGTAAAATTGGCGTGTGCTTTCTAACCAGTCTGAGGAAGTCCTTATGCTGAGCATCTTCAGAGTCAATAGCCCGATCCAAGATGCTGTTATGTGTTGCGCTGAACCAATAAACAAACTATCAGAGTAGTCCCCACTTTTAGGGGAACATGTTATTTCAATGCTGATCTATGATCTATCTACATGATCATGCTGGAAGACATACCAAAAATAAGTGCAATGTGTGAAATAAAAACACTGTTGCAAAATTATGCAATTCAAACACAAGCCAATGAGCACGTAACTGTCAACAACTACTTATGAGACAGAATCTCATGATCCAAGTCACTCAAACACAACTTAGAGATCTAACCTAACCCAAAATTTTCGAAGTATTATAATAATCCAGAACAAAAGATGCAAGTTTTTTGCTAAAATCTCCCTCATCTCAAGATCTTGAAGCCAAAAAGTTGGCCAGAAGTTCGGGACTAAGAGGCTCTTCCCCCCACCTGCCAGAAAAGCATCAACTGAAAGCAATTTGAGGTGAATTAGTTCCAAGAGATACTAGGTCAAGAAGATAAAGGAATCCTAGATTAAGAGGCCAATGGAATCCTAAAAGTCAACTTATAAGAGAACATGGTAAGGGATACGAGGGACTGATTAGGAATAAACCAGATAGAGTTTGCAAAGAGATGAAAGAAATAAACCAGATCGCAAGGGACATGACTATGCCTTCTAAAGACTTAAATTGAAAATGTTGTGAAATAGAAAGGGCCACAACTAAGCCAAAAAGGGGTAAATTTGGACATATTTCTGTTGATGAAGCCACAGTGCTATTCAAGATTTCATCTAGAAATATGTTTCTCCATATAAATTTGCTATTGGAAATCTACAACCCTAGGATATCAAGAATGGGAGTGGGAGCTAGAACGAGTGCATGACAGCTGCAATTGCTGAAAATCCATATAGACCATGACATCATCATCTGTTACATATTGGAATATTCCATTAAATTAATGAAAATTCACAAGCAATGCGCAGCATCGTTTCATGTGAACAATTTCTCATCATAAAAAATAAAAAGTCAGTTTTCAATTTGTCTCTGTGCTAGATATTTATGGATATGAATCAAAGCTTTGGTTGGGGGAAAAAATTCAACTAGATATGGCAATAAATGCTCTCGCTTGAGGGAACCTTCCATCTACATAACCATAAAGCACTATTTATGGAAGGACTGTTTATATTGAAACAGGTGTTGCAATATACTGGGCATGCTGGCATAAAAAAATATTGGAGCAAATAAAATCGATAAGGAAGTAGTTCCTCTCATGCTCATCCACAATAGCCCAATTGATCACTGACCTAAGCAATGGCCTCCATGCTAGATAACTAAAGGTCCGGAACAAAAACCAATTGCGAACCTTTGACGCCTAACTATTCGTACTCTATCTGATGGACAGAGAGTAGGCTGCCATGAATCTAGTTGATAACTTGAATCAAGTAACAGACCTGTCCTAATTATAAAAAAAATAATCTCATGCAACCACAAAGTAGCCCTACATAATTACCCAAAAAATACTTTTCCCTATAGTTCAAAAATACTTTTCACTTTTTGAACTATACTATAATTTTGGGACATACCAAAATGGAGAAAGTGACTCTAATATTAGAAAGGACAGGCTAACTTCTTTTTAAATGCTTAATAATTGATGATCCAAGGACATGAATGAACTATCTCAACCACAGCATCAGCTATTAAGGTCACCATATCTTATGAAAGTGTTCATATCCCTTATTGTCATACCCAATTTTTCTTCTTCTACACCACATATCTTCAAAAACCCCATCCTGTCCTTTATCCTTTACCTCTCTCTGGCTAAGCCTCATTTCAGTGGTTATAAAACTTGAAGAGTCGTTGCTTGGTGTTACATTATTCCCTCTATGTACCATATCCTCCGGTAGGACCAACACTGTTCGTATGAATTTTCTATCTGTAATTCCGTATGAATTAATCTACCAGATACCAAATTAACAATGATAAAAAATCAAGTTGCACATTGCAGCTTTAGCAGCCCACCATGAACACTAAAGAAGTTCTTATACATCATAACTGGATAACCAGCACTGAAAACCGTCTTTACATTGGATGGTTTGGTGTTTTGATGATCCACTTTGAATTTTAAAGGAAGAGTTTGAAAATATTTATTTTGACTCAGAGGGAGAAATGTACTGGAGTACCGATGTGTATCATAGACCTGAATTTACATATGGTAATGTTCATCTCTTACCAAAAATCAGTCATTTATGGATATTATGAGTCCAGGTTGGGAAGGTGTTCCGGGGAAGTGGGCTCTCTAGTACCCTGAAGGATAGCTTCTTTCTTATCTTGATGCTCATTAAACTACCTTACAACATTATCAACTTAAACAACTTTGCACAACATATCCAACCCTCAGCTGGAAGAAAATTTAACTCGCAAGCCTAAACAATTTCTGCTCTTTACTTATGGTGAAGCCATAAATAAGTAATGCAAAACTAATCCCTTTGCATAACAAGCTGACATCTCATTGCTTCCTAAAAGCTCAAGAGGGCATGCATAGTCTGCAGAGCATGAGACAAGGATCACTGCTATTACAGTGTCTCTCCCACAACTAGGCACAATCATGTTGTTCCTTGAGACAAGAAGAAATTGAGATATATGTAACTTCCAAAACTATTAATGAGATTGTGGTCATGCATAGTCTGCCCAAGAATTTAATTGTTGCAACAAATTGTAAAGCTACTCTCACCAATGAAATGATACAAAAAAGTGGTTTACCTATGGCCAATCATGAACCGGACAACAATTCCCTTTTCTTCCTCCATTTTGAGAAGCTTGTCCCCTAATGTAACCCAACAAAATAGGAAATTTCAGATTAAAGAGGTATATGACACCAAGATCAACATCAAACATATAATAACATTAAGCTAGTACCTTGGGGCATCCATGTCTCTCTAACTGAATCACGGCGCCTCCTACTACTAAAAGCAGTATTAATTCCAATAACCATAAATGCCTTCTTCCTCGGCGGGCCCTCATGTGAAGAGGCTGAGACACTAGATGACCCATCAGACCTCCCGATCTCTTGAGTACTCCGAGTGGCAGCCAACTCCATCTGAAGCATCGACATGGACTTGTCCAGTGATCTATCAGACCTCCGCAAAATTCACAAAAAAGTTTCTAAATTAACACCACAGACTTGAACCGAAGATTGGATGGATATAGTGAATGGGGTATAGTACAGAAATGCACCAAAATTAGGACTATTTAAGCCTATGAACTCACTGAATTGCTTCATGTGTTCTGTAAACCTCGTCCATCACATCTTTTTCTTGTCCTGGCTTCTAATGCAGAGAGCAATTAAACAGTGAATATGTAGGCACAATGTGTAATTACCCAGATATAAAAATACTCAAAAACTTGAAATTTGAGACAGAGATGGTAATGTGTTAAGTGCAACACAAACCTCCTTCTTAGTTGTGCAGTCCTCTGAAATGATCTGCAATTCTTGTTCACGTCGATGGCTTGATATGAGCTGACTATTGGATTCAGGCGGGGCCCACAATCTGGGTCACGACAGATTAAAAATCACAAATTCATAAGCTACAATCAAATACTATTCAAGATCAAACTTCAAACTTACCAACACAATCATTACACACAAGTACCCATTGCAGAGAGAATTAGCTTAAATCACTGGTCTTTGACAATTTCAACCCAGACCCTCGATTTCTTTAACCAATAGATCCACAAAAAGACATAAAATTGAGAGAGAAAGAGAGAGAGATACCTGTTAGTGAAGAGCATTCCAAGGAAGAAGAAAGAGATAGAGAAAACCGGAATCCATTTGGAAGAGATTTTACCACTGTTTCGGTTCCTCATCCTTTCTCAGAGCGAGCGAGAGAGAGAGAGAGAGAGCTAGTTGTGCAAGGTGAGAAGGGTGGTGAATCAGGTAACGGCGCTGGATACAGAGAATATTGGAACTTTGGAGAATTGTAAATTGTTTTCAGACAATATTATGTGGGTCCACGCGGGTTGGATCATTCAGAGTTTGTACCGCGTCCGCTCTGTCTGTCGGTCGGGCGTCTTTCTTTGTTTCACTAATCTTTAAAAACCAAAAACACATGGTCATGTGTCCAACGGCAGGATCCCTCTAAAGATTTATCAGATTGTGGTCCGAAGATTATTTGAATTTCAATTGATATTTTTGAACTATTTATTTAAATTTGATTAAAAAAATTATTTATTTAAATTTGAAATTAAATATTTTTTATAATTTCTTAGAGCATTTTAAACACGGACTCAAATTTAGATTCAAATTTAAATTTAAATCGGAAAGACCTAATAAAACTTTTCCAACCTTAGAGTACCTACAACTCTAAAAATGTTCAAAAAAATTTATTTCAACATTGGACTCAAACTCATACCAGACTATTTTTTTACTCAAATCAAGTAAGATTCAAATCCTTGCCCAATATTTAATGGTGAGATTGTACCTTTTTTTAAATATCTAATGATCATCTTTACTCTCTTTTAAATTTGTGTTTAACCTCAATTCTCATTCTTTAAATTTGAATTTGTCTATTAAAATCATTTATATCAAATCAAGTTTTTTTTTTTAAATATTAATTTAAATTTGAATAAAAAATTGAGTTATGGTGGACGAAACTCTCAAAATTTATATCAAATAAAGGAAAAACCTGTTCCGGACTAAAATTGAGTAAGATTTAAATCGTATATAAAAATTATAAGGATAAATTGCACTAATAGGCTCTGAGGTTTAACATTTATCACACTTTGATCCTCAAAATTCAAACATTCTACTAATGTGCTCCTTGACATTAACTGCCATAAAAAAAAGGCAATAGAAAATGTCATGTGCCTGATAGTATTGACGGGCATTTATGTCATTACATCAAATCGTCAATAACCCATCTTCTCGTTTCTCGTTTCTCCTTTCTCTCCCCTTCTCCACTGAGAAAAATAAAATTGCAGCTTTTTTGCACTCAAGAAAGACCCACAATTCTGCCTTAGATTTGATTTTTTTTTTTCCTGTTCAACAACAAAACAACGTGCAGAACATCCCAAAAGAGCAAGATGTCTCAGCTGGGTAGAGAGATCATCTATCCTCATTAGCTTTTTGACGCAAATTGTGGAATAAATCCATGAAAATCTGCTCCCCTCTCCTTTTCTCCCCTTGAAGACAGACCCAAGAGGGCTGAAGCATAACTTATGATTTCCCTCAATATCTTCTCCTATTTATAGGAAGGAAAGAGGTTGTCATTAGGTTTCATAAGAAAAATTGGGAACCAGTTGATGAAACAGATTGTGCAAGTGCTCTGATTGGGTATAATTATTAGATTTTTTTTTTTCAAATATTTCTTATTCCATAAAAAGTAGAATTTCCAAACAATGGAGTAATCTTTGATTTTTCCACCAACTACTCCATCAATCTTTGATTTATGGTAAAAAAAAAAAAGGGGTAATCTTTTTTTAGTTTTTTAGTGGCTTGCTCTTGATAAAGATCTCCCGAGACTTCTGCTAATCTGGTCAAATTTAGCAAGCATTTGTTCTTTGGACAGCAGCTATAGATATCTTGAAAAGATCAATGAGAACCATGACGTGATTTATGATTCATGCAAATTAAGCTAACCTGATGGCCTTCCCATTGGGCAATGTTTAGAATCAATCCTATTACTTGGACTTTCATACAAAAAAAAGAAAAAAAAAATCAGTCACATTAACCTACCTATAAATTCTTTGGAATTGATCCTGACAATCAAATTATCATGTTGATTACATTCTTGATTTTGGTTCTAAATGAAATTATCATTATTTAAGACCATTTATAGTTTTTCTTAATCTATAGAATTTTCATTAATTTTATTGTAGTTGTTTAATTTTAATTACTTAATAGTGATTTCGGACTTTGCTACCATTCTTGTCCATTGCGCTTCTAACAATCATAAAAAAATTATGGGAAAAATTTGAATGCTCTTTGTCCAAAGATTATGCCAACAAAAAAAATCTCTCAAAAGAAAGTGTTGCAAAGCATAAATTATGTGCTTCAATCAATGGGAAGAGATATCAAAGATTTTAATATCTGTAATAATGATATGATTTTCAACAACAATGAAATCATATGCAAAAAAATTGAAGACGAAATGAATATTTCTATTTTTGGGAAAGATTATCAAGCAATTTCAATTCTAAACTCGCAGTAACATAATGCATTTCAAATAATAATAATAATTGATAGAGTTTTCTTAGGAAAACAAATGTCATTTTTCATCGGCAGATCTAATAGTACTAACAAAACTTTTCTCAATCAAGCACTTTTGGCTACAATTAGATTAAAAAAGTATATTGCTCTTAAAACTGCAACATATGGAGTTGCAGCTTCATTCTTACTAGGTAGACGCACAATATATTCGCATTTTAAAATACCTATAGATATAAACTTATACACAACTTGTAATATGGGTAAGCAAATTTATCTCGCTCAACTTTTGAGAATAGCAAAACTTATAATTTGTGATGAAGCATCTATGGCTAGACGTCAAGCCATTGAAGCGTTGAATGATATGCTAAAAGATGTTAGTGATTCTGAGCCATTGAAGCGTTGAATGATATGCTAAAAGATGTTAGTGATTCTGACTTATTATTTGGGGGTAAAATAATTGTTTTTGGATTGAACAACAATTGACTTGCCTTTTTTTTCAAGACTCCACTCAAGATTAACTTGTAGTAATGATAGATCTCAAGAAGGAAAACACATAGGTATGTCTACGTGCAACTCAAGACAACCATGCTCTAATACCAATTGTTATTCTGAGAGGGCGAGAAATGAAATGGATCTTCTTTCATGATTATACACGTCTAGCGCACGATACTACCTAGATAGGAGTGAATAGGTTTTTTTGATTTTAAGCAGAATCAATTACAAATTAAAACTTAATCTACACAATCACCTCTTCTCACAAAGCTTAGTGAATTAATTAGTGAGAACCTCTTTTAATCACCATGATCCTTTACATCCATGAAGGTTGATGTTAATTAATATTCAATTAATTCACTCAAACACTTAATCTCATAGGGATTCCAAATTCCAAGCGCAACTATGGATGAAAAGATGTAAATTAATCATTCATACAAACGCATAGTGCGCGTATGTCCTAACAAATGCAAGTGTATATGTAAATAAACAAGATGAACACAAGTAATTTATTGATGCAAAAAACCCTCCTCAAGAAAAACCATAGGGAACTACTCAAAGTTTACCAAAGTCTAATCCACTTCTCTTAAAGTTAACATATAAGGATTTGAGTCTTATACCTCAACTAATACCATGATTAGAAGCTCCCTTTCTTCAATATATCTCTTTGTCAAAGGCCCTCATTCCTCCTCTGTGAGAATCCTTTAGGCCTCAACCATCATGGGTACACCAACAATCCTAGTATGCACACACCAATGGATTTTGTATACCAATCAAGATCTTTACTCCAATTTCTGAGGTTGAGTAGAATATCTAGAAGGTAACCTTAAGTCTTACGAATCTAGGGTGGTACTGCAAGCTCTATGGGTAGAAAATGCATTTTTACTCTCAAAAGGTTTACACATGGCTTACCCTAGCTAAAGAAAAGACTCGCCCTATTTATAGGTCCAAAATAAGGATAACCATGGTCAACAAAAGAACTCAGAATTGCGAATCATAATGAAAATTCAAACTCAGCATGTCCCTTATTACTTTTTCAAGCCTAAAAATAAACAAAAAACTTGACCTCTTGAGCACTAAAGAGTGTTGCTCTAGTAGTGTCTACTAATGGTTCAAATTATGCTTTCAAAACACAAAACCTAGAGGGCAGACTCCTCTTCCCAATTCATCAGCTTTTCCAAATTTATCTCTAAGTATTTAGAGAATGGTCTATCCAAAGGCAAGAGAGCATAGCAGAGAATAGTCTCTAGTGGTTTTAAGTTAGAAATCAAGTAAAAACTTTTCTTATTGAGGACTAAAAAGTGTTACTCAAATAGGGTCTGATTAATGATTCAATCATATGTATTTAAAATGCAATAAAGGTTTAAAAAAAATTATTTGAAGAACACCTAAGAGTTATTTGTTGGCCTTTTGTGTAGCCTAGTTGTGTATTGATATGGATGATATCTCGACCTGAAATAATGTTGGGTATTTTTAATAAAAAATTTTCTGAGGCTTTAGTCCATGAAGTGGAGGTTGGGGTTGATAGAGCTTTGTAGACGTAGACAAATTGTCGAACCATATAAATACTGTGTTGTGTGATTGTTTAGATTGCATTCTTATCGTTCTTTTCATTAATTTCATTTTATTGTCATCGTTTGATTTCACAACAAGTCATTAACAAATTAAATGTCAATTCCATTTTTACCCTAATCATCCTAAGTCTAAAATCAAACCAAGGTTTCTTGAAGATGTATTCGAAGAGTCTTTGATGTGTCGTTGTAGGTTGAACTCCTTTTTTAATTGATGCTTTCGGATCTCGAAGTTTGTAGCATCATGACCATAAAATAGATTGAGATTTATAAAAATACTTCACAAAATTAGTCAATTACAAATATATTCATAGCAAATACCTTTTCTCTTTCACCTTATCACTTAATAAGTCAGATAAAATAATAGTAATGGATAATCTAATAATTAAAAAATTTATTTTAATAAATTTGAAAAGGTAGTGGTTAGTTAAGTGTGCTGTTGAAGAGTGGTTACAAAAACCATATGGTATAATATGATTGTAGAAAACCTTAGGTGATATTTGTTAACTTAAATTCAGCACTTAAACTGAATGTATCTCGCACTTATTTAATTAAGTTGATTTAATAACCAAAGTTGAAATGTCTTAATTTGTTATGTGATTCTTAAAAATAGGTTGAAATAATAAGTAGGAGATCCCTTATTTAAGGTTGAATGCTGAAATCGCTAAGTTGGAGTAGTTTTATAAATTTTTTAATTTGATAACTATACCCTAAAATGTTTCTCAACCCTATTCAAAATCTAACTAATCTCCACCCCAAAACTCCTAATCTGCTGATCCTATTCACCGTCTCTGTCAAATGCCTTCAACATTAAGATAATTCCCTCTTCCTATTGTCTTCTTCGACAACAAAAAACACTAAATCTCACCCACAAAAGTTCACAGACCATGGCACACAAATACACACTCCATCACATATCTAGAGATTCACAAAAAATACACATATACACTCAATCACAGATACATTCACTACATCACAAAGACACGCACACACATACAGGACATGCACAAATTCGCGCACACTGGCACACAAACTCATGCACAGTCACACAATTTGAAGGATGCAGTCACACACACACACACAAAACCACACACATGCACACACATAATCACACACAAATCTGCACACTTTTGCAAAAACTCACATACAATCACACCCAAATAAATTCATATATTATAAATAAATGCATATTATAAATTACTTTTAATAATATATCTTGGGTTTTTATTAAATAAATGTTTATTTTATAAATAATTTCAAAGTAAAGAGTACAAGGGTAAAATTATAAAATAAATTATTTCCAGACTTCAACTTTGCGACCTTATCAAATATTTTGATTTAATTCAGTACTTAAATATTAGTGGATATCAAACAGTTCATAAATTAAAATATTCAGCATTTTGTTTTTAGTATTCAACTTTCAATTTTATCAAACAACACTTTAGGTGGTGTTTGACAAAATTGAAATCTGAAATCTAAAAACTGAAAACTGAAGTCTAAAAACTGAATATTGAATTCGTAGATTATTTGGTGCCCGATGTGCCAAGTTACCTTGCTAAGTTACAAGTGTGAAGTTGTTCTGTCGAGTGCCTTGACGCGTTCCAAGATGTCTTGTCGAGTGCTTTGCCGCGTGCCGAGATGCCCTGCCGAGTGTCTTGCCAAGTGCCAAGATGCCCGAGCGAGTGCCTTGTTGCATGCCATGATGCCCGCCCTAGTGCATTGCCGTGTGCCAAGATGCCCGACCGAGTGCCTTGCCGCGTGCCAACTTGGCACTTGGGATAAGACTAGTCCGTTGCAGCAGCTTCGCCAAAGACACGTGCCTCTGCGGGCCAAAACAACTGGTCCTCAAACGGGCTAGTCGGCAAAGTACTAAATTGAACAAAACAGTTTGATAACTACATAGAAATGATGTCTGAAAAAAAAATTAATTTTTAGTTTTATCTTTCCACTCTTTACTTTGAAAATATTTATAAAATATATTTTTATCTAATAGAATAATAACAAATTGAATACCACAATAAATGAACTATATCTAATAAATAATTAAAAAATATTAAAAAGTAGAATAAATTAGAATAAATGTGTGTGTGTGTGTGTGCATAGAGTATGTGTATGTGTGTATGCAGTGCATGTGTAATTTTGTGTGTATGTGTTATTATGTACGTATATGTGTGTTGTAGAAGACAAGGGAAGAAGACATGGAAGAGGACTTACTTGTGTCACTCGCCGAAGAAGATGATCAAGACCGCAAGGAGGATAGATAGGTTAGGGGTTTTGGAGAGAAAACTAATTAGAGTTTTAATATGACATTTCGGTGTAGAATTGTCATATTATAAATATTATTAAAGATGAATTTGTGAGCACTTTCAAAATTAAGTATAGTAGATTTTTTACTTAATATTGTAGTAGATTTCTTATATTCCTCCAAAAATTATATATAAAATGTGGAAGGAAGGCATTTCAAGCCTTCTCCACACTAATTTGTTTGCTTTATATATGTAGTTAGTTATGCTATAATCTTCGTTCATCATTGCATTTTCTCTTATCCATCTTTTATGTATGTTTTCATGATCTTTAATGGAAAGAAATTAATCATTCAAAGATGACATGTTTCTAAAGATTGTTGCTCAACAACATACGACGGAAGAGAACACAAAACCATGTGTGTAACAACTATCACCCAGTAAAATATATTGACGACCAAATTTGACAGCTATAGAATGTGTCAAGCTTATGTCCTTTCCACATTTGATTATATTTAATTTTTTATTTCTTTTTAAATGACTAGATATTTTTCCTACTATAGCCTTGGATGGAAATATTTTTTGTGGAGATTATTAATACCTTTCAAACCCAAATCAAAATGACTAAACTTATTAGGATTTGATTTAATATTTGTTAGAGACTCTCACTAATATTGGAATAAGTACCCAAAAAAAGAAAATTACCAAATCTATCTAATATTATTGTTAGAAAATTGAATCGTCAATTTATAAGAGTAGAACAAGGTTCATTAAGATTAATCTAATGTTCACTTATTTTGATCTAATTTATCTATATTTATATTGCTTATAAATATCAGCATCTGTGAAATTTTTTTAATTTTTTAATTTATCCATAGTTATTATTGTAAATTCAATTTTACACACATATTTATTCTCATATAATTTTTATTTTCTATCCCTATTGGACTTTTAAGTTCTTTTGAACTTTGTTATAAATAGAACCTGGCTTCTAATTTTTTTTTGAACTTAGTTATTTGTAGTTTGCTTCCGTACAATCTTTTATATTCTATTATTATATACATGTAATTGTCAGATTAGCTTTTACTGTCAAATATATATCATATTTGATTTTTTATATGCAACAATATTATAATATCATAATATTATAATATAAATAATAGTTTATAATTTAATTAATCTCTTTGATAAAAAAATATAATAAATATTTTATAAATTAAGATGTTCAAATAAATGACAATAAAATATTTCATTATGAACAAAAGAGAAAATATTAAAGTAGTTGGGGTGATACCTAAAAAAAATAAAAAATTAGATATTTAAAGATGGGTAGAATAAATCAATAATTAAATTGAGAATTAATTACCAGAATATAATTTATTATTTAATTAAATTACAAAAATAATTTAAATTTTTTTATAAAAATTATTATTTAAATATGTTCACGTGTAACGCACGTCATATGAAACTGGTGATATAAAATTTATCTCAAAACTTTTTTTTAACTTTTTTTCTTTCTCAAAAACATTATCTTTTCCATACGACTTCCAATACTAGACAATTCAATCAATACACTCCTCAATTTTATAAAATCCCATTAATCCATATTTATCTCTCTTCTCTCACCTATCTCACTTTTATTTTTGCATTATTTACTTTAATTTTAAATTATGTAATTAAAAAAAAGAAAAAAATTAATGTTTAAAATATAAAAATTACACGGTTAATGTTTAAATTTTAGTGTTGCACAGTTCTTCCAAGTATAGAGTTATTGCTAATATATAAATAAACTAGTCATAATTTGTGCCTGAAGACACAATAAAATATAAAATTCAAACGTCTAAAAAATCGATTCCACTATATTAAATTTTTTTAAAATATATTAACTACAAATTAATTAAATATTAAATAATTAAATATATAATAAAAATAAATGGTGTGATATTTTTAAGAAGAAAATATATAAATGATTAAATATGTGATAAAAATGAGTGATGTGATTTGATATTTGAGTCTGACAAAGGGATGATGAGTGAGATAAGTGATTGATGATGATTTTGAGAGAAAAAATATAACTGAAATAAAATTTAAACACACTTTTATTTTATTATATAGATAAAAATATATGGTGTCGTATTTTTATTATTTTTGTTATTTACCAAATTACGTGATGAGTTTGCCCTAATCTAATCCTTGAAGCGGTAGGGTTTCTCTCTCTTCATCTGGTACCTCCCTATATAACTTTCCACTCTCCTATTCCATCTTTTCTCATCGTCTCATTCCACTCACAGCCACGCAACCTACAACCTGAAGTTATCCCCTCTCTCTCTCTCTATCTCATCTAAGGTATCATCTTCAAAACTTCACCTATCTTAATTTCAGCCTGATGTTTATTATGATGATCTTATTTTCATCGTCGATCTATTCGGATTGGCTTTACATGTTTCAATTTTATTATTTTCTATAATGGTAAAACGCTTGGGCTAAAAACCTTGAGGTTATTAAGGTTATTGGTTCTAACTTCTAAAGTTTGGGGTGGACCGAGTTGATGCCTCCGAATTTCCACGGACTTGGGACCTAATTGGATAATCGGCCTTTTACTTGATTCGATTGGGTTTGAACTTGCTTGTATGGTTGTTATTGCTCTAGTATTTGTAAGTCTCAGTTTTTTTGGGATTGAAAAACTCAGATTTATAGTACTGACTTTAATTCCGTGTTTGTATTTTGCTAAATCGTTTTTAGATCTGCTGAATTTTTATATATTTAAATACGTTTTGTTTGATTTAGATTTTTCTATGTAATCGTCTATGTGGACATCTGATTTTTATGTGCTTTTATACAATGAATTTTGGTTTATGGTCACAGTAATTCAGATTTTATTCATTGTATTTGAGCGGATTTTTGGATCCAAAAATATCCCTAGATCAACTAAAGTAAAAGAGTACCGAAATTCTAATCTGTGAATTGATTTGGGGCTAGATTAATGAAAACACTGGATTGTACTATTTGTGATTTTCTATGTATGTTCATCATATAAACATAATTGTTGTTTGAGTTGGGTATATTATGTGATAAGGGTAATTTTATGCAAAAGTATATGTTTTATTACCCATCATTAATAATTCATGAACATAAATAATTGTGGTGATAGTTGAGGGTTTGCGTATTAAAACTCCTTGATTTTAAGAATGGTTTTATTCTTGCAAATATTGTTTACAAATAAACAAATTATTGATGTTTTAGTTTTGTGGCTCTGATCTCACCTTTTGATCTAACAAATTATCCTCTTTTGCTTTTTATATGTTTGTGTGTGTGTTAGAACACTTGGGAGGTCTTGTACAGCTATTTAGGAGATTTAATGGTCATGTAGCCTTTGTTTATAATTATAAAATCCGAGTTTTGACTTTGGGTTCTGACTAAAATTTTATGCATTTTTGCATTTAATATATAACCTTTTGAACCAGAGATATATTTTCATGTTTTTCATTCCTCATTTAAAGGATCTCATGCTAGATCTAATTCCTGCGTTACGTTGTTGCTTTAGCCTCCCATCTTCGTGCTCTAGTCTCAATCTAAATGTGTTAATTTTAATATTTTACACTCCGCGTTAAATAGTGGTGGTGAAGTTATCTTGATCTAGAAGTGTGAATAATATTTTAGGGGCCATGTTAAATTTGCGGACATGTTTTATACTTCCTCGCATTTTGTTACAAGGTAACAGGTCAACATTTTGTCCTGTATAATTAATTGTAGGTCATCTATATGATTGATCATTGATTTGTTTATAACAACTAGGTGGACGATGGATCAAGGGATGAATTCCTGTTTGTGTCCAGTGAACAGTTTTTTTGTTTGTTTCCAATAAGGTGAAATGAATTATTGTTGTTATTGAGCAGAATCCTTACTGTGTCTGTTACTTGGGGTATCTGGGCATCTCTGATAAAGTATAAATGTTCACTTGATTTTCTATACTGCGCAACCCACAACTTGCCCTGCTTCCCACAAAAAAGAAAAGAAATATGCATGTGGTTGGGAGAAATAAATGGTGAGATTAAGGTTTATTTCCTTTGGAATTGAGGTTTTCCACCTTTAGATGAAATAATGGTTCTAGTTTGGATAAGGTTTGGGGAGCTTGCGGTCACACTGCCAGACCATCTTATTGTTCTAGTGTTTAATTCCATCCTTCTGGCCCTCACCTTTTTTGAGTATGTAAGGTTAACAGCAATCTTGTTTTGTGACTTATCTGGTAAAGTATTAGTATGTTCCTTTTCTTATTAGTTCCTGCATTTAATTTAATGATTTTTAGGTTGTCTCTAATATAGTCATTATTTTGTTCCAGGATTTTGGCAGTTCAATCTGCAATAAGTGTAGTTAGCCAAAGTGAAGGGTGTGAAGTTAGAAGCTCTTTTTATGTCTGAGTGGGCATCTCTTTTTTTGTCATCTATTGGGTTGCTTGGAGAGTATTGTCCTAAGTCTAGGAAAAAGGAGAGACATTTCTCTGCTAAAGTTGGCTGTATGCATCTTGCTCAATTTCGGGGATATAACTCGGACTACCAGGGTTGCCAGTGTAAGCGACCTTTCCCATTTTCAAAGAATTTGACCAATTTTCAAGAAATAATCACCATAAGAGATACCTTGCACCCCTTCTGATAAAATCAATTGTAGAATACATATTTTGTGGAAAGCAAAATGGCTTTACAAAATATTGGTGCTGGAAACAAGGATGATGCCTTTTATAGGTATAAGATGCCAAAAATGATAACAAAGATTGAAGGTCGAGGAAATGGCATCAAGACTAATGTGGTTAATATGGTTGATATTGCTAAGGCCTTGGGTAGGCCTGCTTGTTACACCACAAAATACTTTGGTTGTGAGCTCGGAGCCCAATCCAAATTTGATGAAAAGACTGGAACATCACATGTTAATGGGGCACATGACACTTCAAAACTTGCTGGACTTCTGGAAAACTTCATTAAGAAATATGTACAGTGTTATGGTTGTGGGAATCCTGAAACTGAAATAATCATTACAAAATCTCAAATGATTACGCTGAAATGTACTGCATGTGGGTTTTTGTCGGATGTTGATATGAGGGACAAGCTCACAACCTTTATTGTCAAGAACCCTCCTGAACAGAAGAAGGGGTCAAAGGATAAGAAGGCAATGAGGAGGGCTGAGAAAGAGCGACTCAAGGAAGGAGAGGCTGCTGATGAGGAGCAGAAGAAACTGAAGAAAGAGGTTGCAAAGAAGAAAGGCTCCTCTGGTGGTTCAAAGGATGCGGCTTCCAAAGCAATGACCAAGAAGAAAGCCAATGCCTCTGATGAGGATCACTCCTCAGTGGGCAGCCAGGCAGATGAGAATGAAGCATTGGTTGTCGATGATGATGGTAACGATGATATCGAGTGGCAGACTGACACATCTGTGAAGGCAGCTCAGCAAAGGATTCAGGAACAGCTTAGTTCCATTACAGCTGGCATGGTTATGCTTTCTACCAATGAAGAGAAGCCAAAGTCGGGCAAAAACTCTCCAGGACGTGAAGAGAAACCCAAGATCAATGGACATGTGAACGGGGTTAAATCTTGTAATCCCCATGAGAAGCTCGTTGACGAGATCAAGGAATACCTCAAGCAGGGTTCCCCTGTGGGCCAGCTCAAGTCCTTCCTTGGATCTCTCTCTGGTACTGCTCAAGAGATCATGGATGCCCTGTTTGAAGCTCTTTTTTATGGTGTTGGAAAGGGATTCTCCAAGGAAGTGGTTAAGAAGAAGAAGTTCATCTTAGCTGCCTCTCAGGAGGAGGGATCACAGTCAGCTCTGCTTCATGCTATTGAGGCTTTCTGCCGGAAAGCAAGCCCCGAGGTGGCGAAGGAGGTTGGATTGGTTCTGAAAGCACTTTATGACAATGATATACTGGAAGAAGAGTTTGTTGTGGAGTGGTATGAGAAGGGCTTGAATGGTGGTAATAGGGGTTCCACAATCTGGAAGAATGTTCAGCCGTTTGTGGTGTGGCTACAGAGTGCGGAGTCTGAATCTGAAGAGGAGTGAGCCAGTGTGCACTTCTTCCCAGTCAGGTGTCCAAGCTTTTCCTGCTTTTGTCTTGCATTTCCCTAGCTTCTTGTTGGTCTGTTATCTAGTATTTACTATTACTAGTGGATGATGTCTGGTTTGCATTGTTAGTCTGAGGAATAAGCACTTGGTATGGGTCCGTACAGCATGTTTGAAGGTAGCTGGCTCTGTCAGTGCCCTGAAATAAAGTGGAAACTTAGCAGCAGGTGTTTGTTAACTGCCGAGTCTCCGTTGTGTTGCTTCTGTTTGTTTTTACTGGTCGTTAAGACTATATTTGACCTTATTGTAATGACTTTTAATGGTTAGTTTCATTCGGAGTATTCATGTTGTGTGTGATGTTTCTGTTTCCTGTTCCACAAACCGTTGGGGGATTTTTTTCGTTATCACGAATGTTGGAAGTGTTTACTGAGAATTGTCTATGAGATTTGGCAGGTTATCAGGAAGTGTTTACTGAGAACTATCTGTGAGATTTGGCAGGTTATTAGATGATGTAGCTTGATCAGGATATTCATGAGCGTCTCTATTGCTTTGGTGACTTGCACGCATTGTGGTAATATTTACAATAAGAATACTTACTATGCTTGTCGGAGGTATTGCTTCTCTAGTTAGGTCTTTTGCTCTCTATTGTATTGAATGCGGAACACATTAGGATTTGTCAAAACTACATCAACGGGCAGATGTTGAGAGTAATGATGTGTTTGGCAGTGTGGATGGAAGATGTCTATAAAATTTTTTTTTATCGAATTTATATCAACAATTTTTTTTTTATCGAATTTAGATATCTATAAAAAGAATTGTTGTTGAAAAATAAAAAAAAATGAGGCAAAAGAAGAATAAATACATCAAAACTATTATATTGTTGTGAAATCAACAAAATATTAATAAAATATAAAGAGAGCAGTACACAATATATTTAAAATAAAATTTTCAAGAAATTAATATATCAATGTATTGATTTTAAGGATCACACTATTCTTTTCTTTCTTTCTTCTTTTTCCGTGTGCACGCGTGACAACCTATGTGAAAATTAATAGCTAACATGTTATTTAGGTCGCTATAATTTTATATAATTAGAGATTATTTTTAAAAATTTCAAATAAATAAACGAACCCCAATATGAATTTATTATGTAAAAACGAGTCATAACTATAATATATGTTGTATTTCATATAAAAATAAAAATATCATAATGTCCAAATAATATAATAGATGTGTATTACGTGTGATATGTATATTAGTTGTAGAAGGACAAGTGTCAAAAAGAGAAAAAAAAGGGGAGAGAGAGAGAGAGAGAGAGAGAGAGAGAGAGAGAGAGAGAGAGAGAGAGGGGGGGGGGGGGGGGGGGGGGGGATGCTTAAATGAAGAGAAGTGTCCAAGGAAAAAAAAGAGTAAAATGCTTGAACTCCGTTTGCTTGTATCCATGCTTGCCTCACCACCAGGCATCACCTATGTGACATTGCCAAGGAATTTTGGTTACAAATAGCCATGACCAGAGGCCATTCCGACAACACAGAAAAAGAGAGAAAAAAGAGGGAGAAAGGAAGAAAGACAACGAGGGAGGGAAAAAAAGATGAAAATTTTGTTGATTTAAGCAATCGTTTAAAAATTTGGATAAGATTTTTGAATTATGATTTAGTAATTTTATAGGTTTATAGCACTTAAATTTGATTATCGTTAAATATTTTTAGATCAAATTCGAATATTATTAGTTGTCATCATATCAAACCTATGTTGATTATACAATACTTAAATATTAGCTTGTATTATCCATTGGGTTGGATTTGAATTTTTAAAAATAAATCATGATTCCTACATATGTTGTATTTTTGGGTCAAAACCCTAATTATCTTATGGAACTAAGTTGCATATAAAATATTTTTAATTCTATTATGATATATTTATTTAATGTTTGACTTTTTTCTTGTTGTTGAATCTGAATTGGAGATGAGTATGCTTTTATGATTTTTGATGAAATTACTTTGAATGCACACTATTGATGACAGATGGTTAGTAGACGTGTGGTCCTTGCAAGGATTCACTGAATTTCTATTAGTCTTTAGGTTCATTGGTTAGTAATATCGATTGTCATTGATAGTCTATGTGACGCAATTGAAGTCCTGGTATTGGTGATCTAAAAAAGCAAGAAACACATTGGATTCCTTAGTGCACAAGATCCCAAACTTTTTTTTGGAGATAGCTCATGAGTGGACGAGAGAATTGATGAATTATGATTATCGATATGTTCTGCATTCCTATGATTGTTAATTTGACCATTGCTAAGCTTATTTGTTATTTGAATTTTACCACTCTCCTCCTCCATAGAATTTTTTTTTTTTTTAGCTTTTCTCAAGTATTTAAAAATGTTTTTGACTGCATTTCCATATACCAAATCTAGATTTGATGATAACCTGCTTGCAATTCTTGCAACATGACTGATACCAAGTTTTGAACATAGCATAGTATGCAATTAGATCAAACCTTCCAACTCTAGACTGGACTTCACAACCCTACTCAGGATGGGTTTCAAGGAAGATGCACCTTTAAACTTCATCACCCTAATTTTTGTGCATGAGACATGACCTTAGTCAGATAATATATCTAAGCACCTCACGCTCCAACACTTTGCACGCGAATTCGTATTTTGAGAGTGAATTCATGTTATTATTTATACATACACATGCACACACAATACACACACACACACACAATATATATACACACACACACACATCGCCAAAAAACACACCCATCACACACACAATCGATATCTATATATATATATATATACATACACACAGAGAGACAATTACACTAATACAGACATATCGCCAAGAAACACACCCATCACACACAGAGAGAGTCACATAATACACATACATCGCCCAGTTCTGAAGAAGATCAACATAGATTTGAACCCAAATTTGAAGGAGATTAACCTAGATCTGAAGGAGATCAACCTAAATCAACGTTGGAGTCGACACCGTGAGATCGCTAGAGAGAGAGAGAGAAATGCTTGAGATCGCTGAAGATGTTGTGTGTTTCGTTTGGTTTTCGAAGCGGAGTGAGAGAGTGAGGAACGCTTGAGAAAGAAAAAAAAAAGGGAGAAAGACAATAGTTTTTTTTGCTGCTAAGAAAGTTTGAATGAATCTTCATTAAAAAGAAAAGGGGTTTTTCGTGTTTTGCCTTTTTCCTTTCTTCTGTGTCCAAAACAACTGAAAATAAGATAGACTGTTTTTAATTTTTATGCTCCTCCTCTCTCTTTTTTCTAAAAATTGAAAAACAAAAAAACAAACCAAGTAATTTTTCATTATTTTTAAAATTTTAAGAATAAAAAATAATTTTTAAAAATCAAACCAAACATGCCCTTGAATTTCAGGAGCCCACCCCAGTCATTGTGCGGACTGAGGAGAAGTCCATCAATTGGACTTCAACCTTCGTCATCATTCATTTAAAGACTGGATCGTATTTCTTAGACCAATAAGCCCATGGCCCGACCCAGTAACAAGAACTCCATTTCGTGGAGCTGTATGACACTCGGGCCTTCTTTACCGAGGCCATTTAGCTGGTAACAGAAAAGCGTCAACAGCGACCGAAAACAGCGAAGCTAGAACACACTCGAAGTCTCCAATGGCTGTTTCTCTCTCTAACAATTTCTCTCTCTACACTCCTCGATTGCGTGTATCTCTAGCGAAACCTTCCAAACCCCTGGAATTCAAAACCCTAACTCTTCAATCTCAACCTGCTTCTCATCTTCTTACCAATCCCTTTGGAGGGCTGTCTCTTTCTACTTCATATTCAATTAAGAGCAACAGCACCCGCTCCTTTCGGGCATCTCTTGGGGCTGAGGGCTCTACTATTCCGGTATTCTATTCGTGATCACTCTATACACATGTATATGTCTATATATACATGTATTCTTAAAGTGATTTCTTTCTGTTTATTTTTTTGAAACACATATGATAAGTGCTTTTATTGGGAGTGTGGGGTTGATGCTTGTTTTGGTTGATTTATCGAACATTTTGAGGGAGTTTTTTGTGCAATTGGAAAGGATAATTGTTTGGCTTATTTATTCGTACGTTTGGTTTTGATTTTAGCTGATTGTTTCAACCAACTAATGAAGTGATACTGTAATTGTATTTAGAGTGGTCATTGCTCAATGCACTTTCGCTTATTCATCGCACATTGTCTTCGCTTTCTATAAATGTACCTCTATATTTTCTTCCTCTTAATTCCAAGGCTGGAAAAGAGGCGTTTTTCTTGCAAACACCCTATAATGAAATTTTTTATCATAAAACTAGAACATACGAGAATGCAATTTTTGTCATAAAGCTAGAACATCCGAGAATGCACACTTTTGTTGCTTTGGACATTGCCTATTGTTTATTAGTGAGTTCTCCCAGCTTTTCTGCTATTATGAGAATGACCCATGAACATCATCAGCCACTGGAGGCATGATGTAAATTTCAGCTGGTAGAAGAGCATTTTCAAAATTATTTAGTTTCTATTTGAACAAAAAACAGTTCCAGTATGAATTGTTTGCAGTAGTGCCTTCAGGAATATTGGATGATATTTCAGATGTACATACAAGCTAATTGCAGCTTTCAGCGCTTTGCTTGCTGAATGCAGTCATGAATCTTGATTTTTCTTAGTTTCAAATTAACTCCATCCATACCTCAGCAGTCGTTAAGGTAGTTGGTCCATTTTTGCCCCTTGTAAAACATTTATGTTTGTTTAGGGTGCTGATTGTGTCATTAAAGTTTTGGTAGTTATTTACTTACCTATTGGCTGATGTATCTTTTCGGATGTTATATCTGTATAAAGACTTAGTTCTGCTCTGGTAATTTGTCAATTTATTTCACGCATTTGTGGTGACATTATTTTTGGATTTTAATCTTGAACCTCTTGATTTTTCATTTAAATATCCCATTTTTTTCAATGATCTCTTTGTTGACCGTATAATATTTCACGAGTAGAGTGTCAATGAAATTTCCCATTTTCCTCATGGGAAGATGTTCCACAAAGGTATTAAAAAGTGATGTAGTGGATTAGTTGACAAATCCTCTCTCCACTGTGTTTTTCTTCACTACAATGTCCAAGGCAGAGATAAGAATTGAACAAAAACTTTCTCAGTAGAATTTGAAGGGAGTTCTAGTACTATTGAGCAGAATTGCCTTGAATCCCTTTCTTCTTTGTTGAACTGTGACTACATGATGTGGTTGAAAGAATCATTTTCTGTTGCCTTTAGTTGATTGGAATGAGAGGGGAATGTTCCTTAGGAAATATAGGCATGGTGGATACTGTGTGTGGGTTGAGATGGAGACTAGATCCATTAGTGTCACTAAGCCAATGAATAATGAAAGGAGAATGAGTTTGGCAATTCATAGAGGTGTTGAAGGAGGATACTGGATTATATTTTGCAGGATGTTGGCTGAAATTATTTACGGAAAGAACAAAGCTATTAGAATGGTGTAGAACAGGGGAAGCGTTTCTGCTAATAGTGATATTGGTAATGGAAGATAGATGGTAAGGGTGGAGGAGGATTCAAAGAAATTGGGTTATGAAGTGCTTCTAGAGAAGAAGAGAGATAGAAGAAGACAGTGGTATTTCTAAGGGAAAGTGTATTTCAACCCTGGAGGTAGATTCAGAGTTCTCTGTCAAAGGCCCTGAATTTTTCGAAGTTATATTAAAGGCTTTCCAAGATGACAAGGTCATCTTCTTCTGCAAAGGTGGTAGGATGGTAACTCCAATGTGGTGAGGAGTAAAGCTTTGTTTATGGGTGGGTGAATTGCAATTAAGGGTCATTTGTGGCACTTGGAACTATTCTTGAATCCTTACTAATTGTGCCAGGCCAGAATTCGCCTTCACAAACCAAAATCTGGCTTCTGTAGAACAAATTTGAAAGTTGAGTTTAATGCAAAACCCTTTCCAATCATGATAACAATTTCCTCTATGTTAAGCTCAGGGGTGATCGATGGAATAAACTGTAGTCAGGATAAGATGATTAATGCTAGTTCAGTATCTATTAGTTAATCTCTCCAATTATTTCTTGTCTCTTGTTGAAATGTCTAGTATGGTGTTAGAATGATTGAAGGGATGAGGAGACATTTTTTTGTGGGAGTGGTGAGGGTGAAGAAAGAAAAGATCAGCTCGTAAGGTTGGACCTGGAGTCTAGACCTAAAGCAAAACGTGGTCTTTCAGTGTGGAATTTGTTAGATAGAAATGTAGGCATGGTCGAAATGGCTTTGGATATTTCTCTTGGAGTAAAATTCATTGTGACATTCTGTTATTAGAAGCAAATATGGTCTATAGACCAATGGCTGGGATGTTAAGTGGGGTGAAAGAGAAAGTTTTTGGATACCTTGAAAATTTATTTCTCAAGGATTATGTTATTTTTCTCAAAAGTTTAGATTTGTTGCGAGAAAGCTAGAGAGTTCGCTTTTAGGAGGATACTTGGACTAGTGAAGTTTTCCTTCTCGTATCTAGTCTCATGTCTCTGTCACCTATCTTATTATCATGATGCTTGTATTGCCTCTTTGGTTGGATCCTATTTTGACCCACTTTCTTGGTTTTTTGTCATTACTAGAAAACTCAATAAAATGAAATCTTTGGAATTGGTGTCAGTTCTTTCTATACTCAACAATACTACCTTGAGTTTAGATTTCTTCAATGGAAGATGTTGGGTCATTGTGATAACGAGTTCGTTCACTTATAAGTCATTTTTGGAGTCTTTGGTTGACGATTCTTCTCTTCCTCTCTGTTACCCATGATTGAAGATTTGAAGGGCAAAGGTGCCTTTAAAGTGCAGGTGTGTCCATGGGTAAATTCTCACCGGAAGATCAATAACAATTATGTACTTGAAAAAAAAAGACATGGTGTTTGTCTATGACCACAGTGGTGTATTATGTGTAAAGGCGATGATGAGAGAGTGAATTATTTGTTTTTCCATTGTCCTATTGCTTTATCTTAGTGGAATATGTGGATTGAGTTGGAAGGAGTTTGTTGGGTGGCCCCATGTCATCTTTGCTTTGCATGGATGTTAAGGAGGCACGAGAGGTGGTGCTTTATTGGCTGTGCTTTTCTAGCCATTGGTTGGGAGGGAGGAACTCGATAACTTTCGAGAACAAATGTGAGGAGACCGTTAAGGGATCATATTTATAACTTGCCCTTTTTTTTGTTTTTGAGCCATAGATTTGAATGATTTCAAGAATGGCCCTCCCTTTGGTATTACTGCAACTTGGATGGGCCCTGTCACCAGTGGCATTTGATAGGGTTTTCTATTCCTAATAGTGCCATCTTCTGTTTTGTTTTCTAGTTGGACGAGTTGTCCACCTTTGTTTTGGCTCACGTGACACTTAACTATATTAAAAATAATATTTTGTTTCTTGTAAAAAAATGATTTTTCACAGAATTCGAGACTGTTATAAGAGCTTATTATTGTCTAACAACTGTTCATCTTCTTATACATTTTTTTCTGCAGACAAATGATGAAGATGATGCTTATCTTAATGATGCAAATACATCAGAACGTGAAGCAGATCAAAAACATGCCTCCAGTTTGATGTCCCTCATTGAAGTCTACAAGGAGGTTGTTTTAAATGGGGATGAGAAGATTGCAGCTGACGTTGAGACCATGATGTGCATGGTGGAAAATGAGAAAAACCAGTTGGTGCAGAAAGTTTCAGATTTGTCCACTGAAATAAATTCTGGTAAGGAAAAATATCTTCGTTTACAAGCAGATTTTGATAATTTTAGGAAAAGATCAGAGAAGGAACGACTTACAACAAGGAGTGATGCCCAAGGAGAAGTAATTGAGAGCCTTTTGCCCATGGTGGATAATTTTGAGAGAGCCAAGGAACAAATCAAACTAGAAACAGAGAAGGAAAAACTGATTGACGTGAGTTATTGGGGTATATACAAGCAATTTGTGGAAATCATGAGGAATTTGCAAGTTTCTACAGTAGCAACAGTTGGCAAGCCATTTGATCCCTCGGTAAGTCAGACCCCTTGAGGCTTGTATATATAGACTGTATTTCTTGAGGTACTTGGCTTTTGTGTGTAAATATCCTTTATGCATGTTGGCGGTTCATGCTTGCAAACTATATTGGTTTGTAATGCAAAGATAAAAGGATGAGAAACCTTGAAAGGAAGGAGAGTAGTACAGGAAATGTATGGCAGGGGTGGCAATCTTATCATGTCATGTGGGTCGTGCCATGTCAAAGTATTGGTATTCAAGTAAATGGGTTAAGCAAGTAAAAGTGATAATATTAAGTACTTTTGTCAAAACCTCTAGTCCTAATATGATGTGTTTATCATGCATGGCATGGCACGGCCCGTATACCCCCACTTGGTACAGAGGTCCCCACAGTGGGGGGCAGTCGGGGCACCTACTCCCGCTGTAATTTTAAAAAGGTTTGGGGTATACTTAAAAGATTTGAGAATTTAAAAATTTTTTAGAACTCAGTCCCACTGAAAAAGTTGTTAAAAGTTAGGGGTAGTTTTATATTTTAGAAAATAAGCAAATTTTTTTCTTAAAGTAGAAAAGTAGACTTGCTCTTCCCCCCTTATGACTTGATCTCATGACCCTCACCCAATTTGGAATTAGATTTCAATATTTAAATTTTAAAATTTGCTTGTGATGGATAAAACTGTTTTGAATAATTGCTTGGAGCTCCATGTGTATATACCCAAAATCATTGCTCCTCCCTTGTTGGGTTACTTGGGCATATTCTTGGATGGCAAAAAAATACAGGTGTGAATATACACTGAAATACAGAGGTGGTCATATCTGTGTTCTTGAGTGATAGCCAGCTTGCATGGAAAGGTACGGAGTAAACTGAATTCACAAGAGGTTGAGTGCTTGAGTGACTAGACCTTAGTCTCATAGTTAATGATAAATAACAGTTTGCTCTAAGCTTGTTCAGTGAACTGTTAGTCATCACATACCACAAACATGCAAGATACTAATACATTGTATTTTGCCGTTTTGAAGCTTTTGTTTTTTTTGTTTTTTTTTTTTGCATATAGCTACATGAGGCTATTGCACGAGAGGAGTCTGAAGAGTTTAGGGACGGAATTATAATTCAAGAGTTCCGTCGTGGATTTCTTCTAGGAGATCGATTATTAAGACCAGCAATGGTTAAAGTTTCAGCAGGCTCTGGTAAAAGAAAACCCCAAGTGACCGTCGAGACATCCACCGAACAACCTGCAACAGCTGCCGGAGTAGATGAACGATAGTTGGAATTCAATAGCACAATCCAGCTCTCAACTTTTAAATGGACCGATTTTGCGCCCACTTGCCTTGCATGAAGCTGTTCTTGTAACCAGCTTATTGAGTTGAAGAGACTTGAATCAATAATGCTGCTGTTATTAATTTTTGGTACCACTTGTGGTGTAACTATTATTTTTTTTTATCAATGATTAGGGCGATCCAGTGGGACTCACTGATTCAACTGTTCACATAGAATTGGTAAAAAGATTTGGTCAGGGGAGTGTTGTTGTAACTTTATATTCTTTGAAGAGGTTCTACCACGAAGAAATGTTCTTTAATAAAACTTTAGCATTAGCCTCTTCTGCGGGGTAGATATATCTTTGTGGATGCTACAATTTTCAAGTTACAATTCTGATAAAAGTTTTGTGACATCGACGCCTAGTCTCTAACTTGGTCGGTCAATTAACCTATTTAACAAATGATGAGATTCTTGATCGAATTTCAAAACTAAAAAAGTCTAAGGATTGAATTAGCTTATTGATTTAAAGAGTTCTCTATCTTATATCTTCTATTCTCCTTTTTTTTTTTTTGTTGGGGGGGGGGGGGGGATGAAATGTATAAATGAGGCCATTCTTGCTCTAATATTGCATCTTCGTTCCATACTAAATTGTCTTGAACTCAACTAAAAATTGATTGATTTTTGGCTAATGACATCTTTAAGGGAGTAAAGTTGTATTATGATATCTTTATGGTTAGATATTCAAACGATGTCTAATAGTTGGAATATATTATTGCATTTTTGAGAAATTGAAGAGTCACTGTCAACTTGTTTTGTGTTTGAGGTAGAAAAGTAAAATTTTTAAAATTTCACAAGGGATAAAATATCACCAAGTTTTATATCCCTCGGGAAAAAAAAACATTTATCACCGTTAATAAAAAATGTTATAATATTCGTGAATCTATTTACTTTTCCTAGGCATGGATTTATTTCTTCTTGGGACTTCTACGAGTCCTAAAAGGTTTTGATTATTGACAAGTTGGTAGTACATGAATGCCATAAAAAAAATTAACTAACGCAAATAATAAGTGAATCGAGTTTGTTTCTAAGACGAATAATCTGATTTTGACATAACAACCTCATTCAACTGAAATCGTATGAAGAAACTATCTTTATTTTTTGTCTCAAATTCTTGATGAATGATGTGGATTAAATACATTTTTAACTTGTAAGGGATGTGGTTCATAGCAGATTTCAAGTTCACAAGTTACATATTTTCACCTGAACATAACAGGACCTAAAAAAGACCCGACACGAATATGACATGAATCCGGAATAAAACAACCCACATACGACATCACACTACTCAATTGTCCATACAATGACTGGTTTAGGAGTCCAAACACTTGCCAGCAATCCGAAAACAAAACAAAACAAAACAAAAAACTTCTTAGATGTCGGGCATTACAAATTTCGACACCCATAAGCTCAATCTCCACTCTCTCATGGATCCACCAACCTCATTTACTTCAAGGACAATGTTGGCCTTGGATCCAACAAATAATTTGCATCAAATTGTCGCAGTATATTTCAGTGGTATAAAAATGAATTTATATACATTCATAAGAATGCAGTCATAATACAACAGCTAATACCTAATAATGAACCTAAACCATAGTTTAATTTACACACCCACAGGTACATTTTCCTACTATTCAACCTTGTAAAAACTTGAACACTGTTCACATGCATTCTGCTGGCTCTGCAAACCACGCTTGGAAACAAGCCATCTCAGGAACTTAGCTCCACTTATATTCTGAAGTTGTTTCATCTGCAATATCCATCTCTGGTAGTATCATCAAATTTGATAATTTACACAAAAAAAAAAAAAAAAACCAGTGCATTTTATATTTCCCATGAAAAAGATATGTAGCACCGTATGTCACAACAACTCACCTTTGCCGAATCAGACATAAACAATGTGATCGTTAAAGAAAATGGAAGCCCTAAAGTAGATGATCATAAAATCTTTTGAGGCTAGTCATGTAGACCTAAATTTACACTGTAACATGACTGAGGGTAGCTTCCATTTCTGTTAAGGTCCCATTTTAAATGAGATAACTGTACCTCCAAATGCAGAGGAAAGCACAATGATGGCATTCAGGATACCTACTATGTAATATAAGCATGGGTAACATAAAAACATATCCAATCTTTTTCACCTAAGCAAATACAAATAAGTAGCCTACAATCAAAACTATTGCTCTTTTCCCCAGTTTCTCTTTTTGCCTTGTCACATGCAGGGTTACGTGTGAGCTCACCGAGATGAACTTCTATATGCATCAGTTGACATGTTAAACATACTAATACAAGGTTTTCTCACAAATACTACACTCAAAAGCATTTATAGGCAGAATAGATTAACCTACTTTATAATTCTTTCAAATCGTCGAGTGTTACGTATGGGAACATACACTGTGGCACTGTCGTTTGACAGGAAAAGAAATTTATAATATCCCCAAATAAATTGGATTAGAAAGAGACAATTACTCTTGATTGTCGTGAGTGCAGTTAAAGGGCCTAATATCCACACGGGGCTAAGATTCAACAGCAGGTACATAGCAATTCCCATTTCAGAAGGAACGCAGGTCAATTATCACCCACAAGCTTGTAGATATGCAACACACAACTCTTCTAGGTTAGACCAAGAAACATGAGGTTGGCATAATAGAAACGAAAATCAAATGAGCAAGAGAATGTTTAGTATAGCCGTAATGATGGAGCTAAAGAGAAAATATGCAGAAGCACAACATGAACTCACCAGTTGTTGAAAGAATTTTGGTTCAAAATACAAGAAGTCCAATCCAAAGTAAGGAGAAAAAGAGAAGTTTGACTACTTATATACACTTGCTTTGTTTTGAGTCTCTTGAGCACAATTAGGAGCCCCTCCGACTATGATATTTGTAGTGAAGTTAGAATAGAGGAGAGGAGCTAGATACATTTCAAGGCTAAAGATTGGCCAAACAATAGTAACAACAAATTTATCCAAAGACGACACTTCAAACTAGTAGTAACATTTTCTTATTGAAGTGAAACCACTCAAAAAGCAACATTTTCTATTTTAGCTACACACTTATTTAATACACACTCTAACATATTTTTTATATTTTTAACTACTTCATTTAAATATTATTTCTCATTTCTTTTGTATTATTTTTCTTTGGCAATAGTGAAAGGGAGAAAGAGAAAGAATGGAGGAAAAGGAGGGAGAGAGAAAATATTATAAAAAATTTATACATATTTCTACAGACCATAGCAAAATGCTATTTTAGATGCTTTGGATATGTTCTTTTGGAGTGGAATTTTAGGGTAAAATAGCTAAATTTTGAATTTTTGTGTACTTTAGCTAATCTCTTGGAGATGCTCTTAGCAATATTAAACTTACTGACCTCAATTTCTTGCCTAAACAAGCAAAACATCTTAAGCTTCCAAATAAACCAGGCTATCTCTTACTCAAAGTTTCGACCTGTTTTTGTTTTAAAGATCAAGAGACTTTACGATTCAGGATCTTTACACACAGTAAAAAAATACTAAGGACCTCAAGGGAAACTGACAAGGAAGCAAGGATTTTTGCTTTTGGTGAAAGGCTTAGTGTTTGGGAAAAAGGTTGAAACTAAATAAGGGATGTTAGGGGGATAGAACAGGGAGATTTTGTGGCTTTTCCCGGGGTGTTCAGGCAATGTGAACAGTACCCATGGACTGCTAATGGATACTTTTGGAGGCTGGGTAGGGTCTTGAGTGAAGGAGGTGCTTGGGCTTGGTGAAGTAGAAGTTTTGGGCTTGGAAAGGATAGGATTTCAGGTATGGTTGCAGGTCTAAATTGCAAATTCAGAAACTTGAAATTGAAGAAGAAAGGAAGGCGAAGAAATCAGGAGTCACAACCAGGGCCTTTGGTCTCACACAAAAGAAATGATGACTCACACATCCTAGACATATGGTTAAATGGATTCCTTTCTTCATTCCCCATTCACAACAATGCTATAAATGAATAGATAGAGGCTAAGACTTGGGGACCAAGACGTGAAAAACATTTATCAACCATGCAAATGCGACATCCGAGCACAAAATTGAGGTTGGTTAAAATTTATGAAGCTCTATTTGGTTAAACTAGTAGCCAAAACCTGAAGGCAATGACAAATACTAAGGATTATTATGTCGCGGTGGATAAAATACCATAATTAATGTGTGGAGAATGAACTCTCGCATAAAAAACATATAGTACCTTTGTGAATTATATATTCGAATACGAAGTTAAGTTTGGTCAAAGTTTGAGAGGTCTAATCAATAAAACTAGTGGTCTAATTTCAGATGTGACAAATGAGAAGAATTCTCGTGTCGTAGAGTATAGGGACACCATAATAAGTGCATGGAGCATGACATTCCACGTGAAGAACATGCATCACCTATGCAAATGCCACACCTGAAATTAAGATTGATCAAAATTACAAAATTCTATTTAGTTAAATTAGTGGTAGAACGTGAAATAAGAGACAAATACTAAGGATTATTGCGTTGCAAAGGATAGGGACATGAATCCAAAGAATAATCACATAAATACTAGGGCATTACTTGATAGCGCTACGTTGTACCTGCACCCGGTTATTTCGAAAAATGGGTAAGGAGCGCCGCAATTTAGTCACTTGGGTGTGGTGAAAAAGTCACAAGGGTTCTAGTCCAAGACACTAAACTTAGGTTAACAACTTTGAATATAGGAATACTAACAGGCAAATGAATAGAGATAGTTGAAGCCATGATTGGAAGAAAAGATCGACATAGAAATGGAGTAGGAATATAATTATATTCACATCTTAAACAGAAAATGGCAATAGTTCTTAGGAAAGGAGATAGAACAATATTACTTAAACTTGTAATAAAAAGAAATATAATTAATATTGTTAGTGCATATGCACCTCAAATAGGATTAGATCAACACTTTAATACTCAATTTTGGGAGCATATGGATGAACTAATGAGAGCAATACCTATAAGAGAGAGCATACATAGGAGGAAACTTTAATGAATAATGACCATATAGGAAAGGATTGGGTTGGACATGAGATGAACCCTAATGTACATGGATTTGGAGATAGGAATGTTGCTGTAGATTTTGTCTTAGATTTTGGTATAGCATATGATCTTATGATAGCAAATACGTACTTTAAAAAGGGGGATGAATATTTAATAACTTTGAAAAGTGGATTAAAAAAAAAAACAAATAGATTTTCTCTTAACTAGAAGAAGAGATCTTAGAACATGTAAGGCCAGTAAAGACATCTCAAACGAGAGCTTAACGACAAAACATAGGATAATAATACTAGATATATTTCTTAAAAACAATATAAGACATAAGAAAGATGTTTAAAAACCAAGAACTAGATGGTGGAATTTGAGAGGTGAAAATATAGATTTGTTTAAGAATAAAATACAAAAGTAGTGTGAAATTTAGAAGATGAAACAAATGTAATGTGGAATACGATGGTAGGAAATATTAAAAAAAAATATTGAGGTTCTTGGAGAATCAAGAGGGAATGGATCATAGGTAAGATAAACTTGTCAGTGGAATGATGAGGTCCAAATTGTAGCAAAAACAAAAACAGAATGCTATAAAACATAGCAAAAAAAGTAAAAACAAAGAGGACTTTAAAGTTATAAGCTTGCAAATAAAGAAGTAAAAGAGGATATAAGATGCTAAGTACAAAACATATAATGATCTTTATTACAAGCTAGACACAAACGATGGGGAGAAAAGTATATATAAACTTGCTAAGTTAAGAGGAAAAAAAAACCTGTTAATATATCAAAAGTATTAAGAGTAAAGACTCTAGGGTTTGGTACAAAACAAGAAAATTAAAAAAATGGAAGTATTATTTTGAAATTTTTCCAAATGAAAATCATATAGGGAGCTTAGACATTGAAGACTATAAAAATCAAAGAGAAATTAGAGAAAACACATTTTTTTTCATAGGATTAGGATGACTAAGATAAAAGAGGCATTAATTTAAAAACAGGGAATGCTTTTGGACTTGATAGTATACCTATTGAGATTTGAAAGTGTCTGGGGGATGTTGGGGTATCGTGGTTAATATAATTAATTAATAAAACCATAATGACTAAGAAAATGTCCGATGAGTGAAGGAAGAGTATTTTAGTACCTATGTATAAGAATAAGAAAGACATACCAAGTTGCACAAAATATTGATGTATTAAACTAATGAGTAATACAATGAAACTTTGGGCGAGAGTGAGCGAGTAAAGATTAAGATTTGAAATAAAGGTTTCTGAGAATCAGTTTGGATTTATGTCAGATAAATCAACAATGGAAATTATATACTTACTTTGAATATTAATGAAGAGGTATAGGAAAAAGAATAAGACGTTTAGCGAAGACATATGATAGAGTTCATAGAGATTATTATGAAGGGTTCTAGAACACACAAAAATATTAATGTTAGATATATTGATGCGATTAAAGATATGTATGATGACTTAGTGACTTAAGTGGGAACAAAACTTGAGAGACTTCTGAGTTCCCAATTACTATAGGTTTACATCAAGGTTCGACTTTGAGTCCATATCTTTTTGCGTTGATTGTAGATGAAATCACATGTCACATTTAGGATGAGCTCTCATGGTGTATGTTATTTGCAGACGATATTGTATTAGTTAATGAAAATAAAGAAGGCATGAATAACAAACTAGAAATATGACGAGAAACTCTAGCATCAAAAGGATTTAAGATAAGTAGGCCTAAAATTAAATATATGAAATGTAACTTTAGTAAAAAGAGAAATCAAAACAGAAAAATAATAAAAATTGAAGATCAAGAGATATCGAAAAATATATATTTTTAGCTTGGGACAAGGCGCTGTGAGTTAAGTTAAGTTGGGTTGAGAGCATATGAAAATCATAACGAGTGCGTGAAGCACCAAATTCCAAGCAAAAATATATATTAACCATGAGAATGTAACATCCGAAGTCGAAGTTAGGATGCTCTAGAAGATTAAATTAGTCATCAAAACCTGAAAGAGGTGACAAATACTAAGGATTATCATGTCGCAAAAGATAGAACATCATAATCAATGCATGGAGCATGAAATTTCGCATAACAAGTATATATAACGATGCAACATCTAAATAGGACTTCAAGGTAGGCCAAAGTTAGGATCCTCTCATTTATTAAACTATTTGTGAAAACTTGAAAGAGGCGACAAATACTAAGAATTATCATGTCGCAGAGGACAAAATATCATAATAATGTGTGGAGAATGAAATTTTGGATGATAGACATACATCACCCATACGAATGCAACATCTAAGTATAAAGTTAAAGTTGATCAAATTTAGGAAGCTCTATTTGTTTAAATTATTGGTTAAAACCTAAAAGAAGTGACAAATATGAAAGACTATTATGTCCCTAAGGATGAATCACCATAATCAATATGTGTAGCATGAAAATTCCATTTGAAAAGTACATACTACCCATGAGAATGTGACATCCGAGCATGAATTTAAGATGGTCTAAATTAAGACACTCTAGTTTGTTAAACTGATAGTTAAAACTTGAAAGATGTGACAAATTCGGAGGATCATTGTATCACAGAGTATTGGGACGCCATAATAAGTGCGTGGAAACAAGAAACATGAAAAGCATATACAACCATTGCGAATGCGAATGAGATATCTGATGTCGAAGTTAAGGTTGGTCGAGTTTATGAAGCTCTATTTGGTTAAACTGGTGGCTGATACATGAAAGAGGTGACTATACTAAGGATTATCTTGTCACGGATGATGGAACACCATAAGTAGTGCATGGAGTATGAAGTTCTGCATGAAAAATATTTATCACCTATGTGAATGTGACATCCGAGTATGAAGTTAAGGTAGGTCAAAGTTAGGATGTTCTAATTGGTTAAATTAGTGGCCCAATCTTGAAAGATGCGACAAAAACGAAGGAACATCATGTCGATGAGGGTTAAATACCATAATCAACTCGTGAAGTATGAAATTCAGCATGAAATATTACACATGCGAAGTTGCCATACAATGCATCACTAAGCTCTTGGTGCAAAAAAGTTCACTATAGAAACTGATTCTCAACCCCATAAGGAAATAACTAAAATGCCCCTTCCAATTTAGGTGTGTTGATATCCTAGCCTTGGTCTAATAACTTCTAATTTATTTAAAACTTAAGAAAGAATCCAAATAACTTAAGAAAGAATCCAAATAACTTTAGAATACCGGCTTCCTCACATACTTCACCTTGAATTTGAGCCAAAATTTCCCTATATCTATCTGTAATATATTTCCCCCTCCTCGGGGGCTTCTTAGCTTCTTCAACACTTTACCAGCCAGATCAATGAGCACCTTCTTCCCTGGTTTTGCAGAAAATTATTAAAGAACCGGATTTCAAACAATTTCTAAAGAAAAGCGACAAGAATCAAGAAATTGTTGATATCGACACTAGTTGTTGCTTTGTATTTGACATCAAAGTCCATAAAGAATGCCATCGTAGCTAAACATCATTTGTTAATGCCCAACAGACTTACTCCTTTTATGGTGTTATAATATAAATTATGTGTATTCAAAAAAATGTGATAAAGACTTGAAGTTGAAAAATCGATCAATACAAATCAACTACCTGGTGCTCAAATAATATATTTTTCGAGGAAATCTTCATGGATTTCCTTCAACAAGATGACAACCACATTTTTGCATTTGTTGGAAATAACCTTAGAAGGAAATTTAAAAAATATATGGAAAAAATCTCCCTGTATGCAGAATAAGCTTGCGTACATCTTACTGTTCCCAAACCTTACAATTTCAGTTGGACAATGGGTTGCCTTTTTTCTCCCCCTTCAAAAAAACCAAACTGAATGGGTTTCTGTATTTTGAACCATTATATTTTTTCATGTTCAAACATTAAAAAACAGCTTCCTAATTCTTAAAAAGGGTTTTCAAAATTTCAATTTAGTTCAAATTGAGAAAAAAAGTCTGAGACATGCATAGATCAGGGACAAATTAGAATTTCACATTTAACTGTCTAACAAACAACATATAACATGGTTTGTTGCTGCCTCCAAGTTTCTTTTCAAAAGAAATAAGAACCCCTGGTGACCAAAATTTACAAAGCATAATTGCATGAAAATAAAAATACTGAGCCTATAAACACCATTTACAAGAACTCAGAAATGCAAAAGTTCTCACCATTAAATAAACTAATCCCAATAGTAATTTCAATAACATGACTTCTTCAGAATGTGATTTATATGACATTTTGACTTTCAATTCAAGCTTTCACACAAAGAGTATGTCCTTTTTAGTTTTTAAGGGTACACAAAGCATATTTTATTTCTTTTGTGAAGCATTGATTAGTCTTTGGTACTCACTCCCAATACCAGATCCTGAATCAAGTCTGCAGAAGTGCTTTATTTTTTTTTTGAAGAGTTGAAACTTGTATTCCTTAAGCAGGTTTGGAGCCAGATTGTCTTTAATTGTTCATGCCAACTTTCCCCTATGGATTGCATCTTGATCGTATGTACTAAGTATCATACATTACAGATAAGCTAAGAAGCACAGACATCTCTAAAGGGACTGTATTCATACCAGGAACACTTACGTAGCAATAACATGCTTGGGAGAGTATTGGACACGAATCCAACACTCCTCTGAATGTGTCTACAATTAAGGACTATATTAACAGACAAGTAACTTATACCATCGCTGCCTATATATAAGTTAAAAAAAATATATACATGGATTAAATTTCTCTGTTAAAATCCATAAATTTTGTATCAAACACATCAATCTAGCAGAAAATTAGAGGCAAGAAAACCAATCGTCAAAATTGATACACCTACCAACGATCACATGCGAATTATCCCTAATTGATGAAAAGGGTGTGAAGGGAGGGAATTACCATAAAGAAGTCGAATTTTGGGTATTGAAGCTGTTGTAGAACCGAGTAAGCCGCCGCCTTGTCTCGGGTTTTGGCTTTACAGGTTTTTTCCTCAAACCAAAGATTTCTTGTACCAGAGGAACGTGAACTAGAACTAGCTTCCACGCCAAAAACCAGCCTGGAAAAAACCCATCAAAGCCTCTTATTAGGAACAAATCTCAACATCTCACATCATAAAACAACATATAAATAGAGCGCGCGCACGAGAGAGAGAGACCTAGAAGAAGTAAGGAGAACACGAAGGTGATGGCGAGAATGGGTCGGAGGAAGAGGAGATTGAGATAATCATAGTAGGAGAGAGAGTGCCCTGCATAAGAAGAAGATGCAGAAGAAGAAGAATCCATTGACACCGATCAAGATCCAATTTGGGATTCCCAGATGAGTTGGGGGAAATTTACTGGTTTCGATTTACAGGTTTTTTTGACATCTTTGGACGAGAAGGACATGTCGTCGAAGCAATGTATCGAAGAATTATAACGTCAATTTGGTAAGTCTCGGTTGACTAAAAAAATTTCTGAGAATCAATCCGGAGAAAGTTCCTGCCGAGGAGTTCGGAGGAGCCGGGGATTTTTGATCGAGTTCTGTTCGATTCTAATTAGTCGACTTCGTGTTTGAATTTCAAATAAAATTTTATTATGAGTATTCGAGTCAATTTTAAATTCAAATCAGAGATTAATTTTTTTTAACAAAAGTTTTCAAAAGATAAATCATAAAACTCATTTATCAACTCTGAAATAATTGATTTTAAAAAATATATATATCTCAAAATTTGTATAATAATGAATAGAGCATCCCTTTCTGCTTTGCCCTTGGGTTAGTGACGTATGGCATGAATCTTCTTTGCATAGATATATAGAGAAGCAAGGAGTGACAAGATTTGAAGGATAATTGACTGAAATTTTGAAGGATGATATAGGAAAGGGAAACTCAAGGAGTATCAAAAGTTTGTGAAATATTAGTTCAGAATGTTCACCGAGCTTCGTATCCAACAACGAGCTAGACTTGTTTTCTAGAAACTTGCAAAGACAAGTCAGAGACCGGAGAAGCTTTGAAGGTTGATCCTTTAATGATATAGTCAGACAAAGATATTTAAGGGATCAGAAGAAGCTTTTGTTTGTGCTTGATTCACTTACCTTGATCTCTTGCATGGCCTCCCCTGTTATTGGCTATATGGTTAGGCAGTTAGCGGATCTTGCTCTGCCTACTTGAGTTAAGTTGATTACTCCACTTGCTTGATCCAATCTTGTTGGCTAAGTGGAAGTGAAGGTTGAGTTGAACTAATCAAAATCTGTCAGAGGTAGGACTCTACCGAGCTCCAGGGTTATCAGGGTGGTTATTTGTCGAGCTGGAACTGATTCGAGCTATTAAGCTCGACATTACAAGCCCGTGCCTTTTTCACTTTTATTAGTTGCCCTAGGTTTAACTTGGCATGACTTGTACTTGGTCCGCATTTAATGTTTTTCATCCGTTAGTGCCTCCGGAAACAACATCATGGCTCGTACGACTGTAATTGCCAAAGAGCCGTTGTGTAGCTGAGATTTAAACACGCTATCTCAAGAACTCATCTGAGAGCCCGGATACACTTTTCTTCCTCAATCTTGATCTTCTTAATTTTTTTTTATTTGCTTGGACTCTTCAAGTCGGAGTATTTAGGTTGGAGTCATACCTTTTAATTTTATTTCTACCATTTTTGTTTTCTCAAGTGGAAGGGTTTCGATCTTGATCACCTAGACCTTTTCGTGGATCAATTTTCTCAACTTTGGCTCGAATTTGTCTTCGATTCTTGCTTAACTCTTCTTTCTCATAGTTCTACCTGTCTTCCCACCACCTAATTTGTACATTCTTCACAACTATTTTTCAACAATAGGTGATTCAAAGGCGAACTCTCTCAGGGAACACCGCGTCTCTTGTTGCCAAGGCCGATAGGGCCAATGAAGAACCAAATTCCATCTTGAAGATTGTTTCCTCTTCCATTGTAGTGGTGGGGGCAAAACTATTCCAAAGCTCTCTTGATGATATGACACTGGACGAGATTAGGGAACTCTATCAGATTCCTCATTCTATTCGCCTTCGTCTCCCCTCTCTAGAAGAAACTACAAACTCTTTTTGTAGGCAACGAAGTCTATTTTTATGAATCGATTTTCGAGTGTGGCCTTCGATTCCCTATACTACAATACATTAGAGAAGCCCTCCACTACCTAAACCTTGTCCTTTCTCAGTTAATTCCACACAGTTGGGGGTTTTTTGATTGGCATCGGCTTTTTTTGGTCAAGAACCAATGGTGTTGCTGCTCGTCCAACTATAGCAAAGCTCTGACACTATTACAAGCTCACACCTTGCTCTGGGCAGAATAAAAGGTGGTTCTATCTTTCGAAAAGGGAGAAAATCAAGCTCCTTTTTTGCTATTCCTCTGGCATGAAGGAATGGAAGGACAAAATTTTCTTCGTGTCTAGGCCTGGTTGGGAATTCGGTCCTTCTGATCCACTTTTGGTCCCTAGACTTTGGGGATCACCTCCTCCTTCTCTTCATAAGTTGTCTGGTTCTTTCTTTTGGCCTTTTTTTTTTTTTTTTGTGGATTTATACTGATGTGCTTTTCTTGGTGCAGGCAAGACTAGTCCTCTTCCTACTGAGCTCAAGGTTCAGTTTGAGAGGGCTTTGGCTTATTGATGAGAATACAAAATGTCATATTTTTCTCTTTTCATATTTAGTCCTTTATACTTATTTGGTGCCTAAATGTACTTATTATTATTATATTTTGATTTAAGATACAAATGGAGACGTTAAATGCAAAACAAAACTAATTGGACATTTTGGACAGTTTCGATATTGCTTCGTTATCTGGGCATAACTCTCTCATCCGAGCTCTGATTGAGATGATTCAAGATGCTATGAAACGCTAAGAGAATGCTCTACAACTTTCATGTTTTGAGTTGTGAGAGATATTGGCTTAATCAAGGTCAAAATCAGGTTTGAAGTTGCAGCTCATGCACTGTTCATGTTCTGAACCTGATGCACAAAATTCTAGTGGACTTTATTTTATTTTTACTCTCCTAGTTATATTAGAACTTTACTTTCCTAGTTATATTAGGACTTTACTTTCCTAGTTATATCAGACTTGAAGAGGTTTTAGGGAGGAAGGAAGAAAAAAATCAGCAGACGGGTACCTATTTTTATGATTGCATCGTTTAATTACTAAGAGGTCTACTAGTTTATTCTTCATTGTAATCTACTGTTGGGTTAGATATCAAATCCGTAATTGTTTGATCCCTCTAATTTGTGGAGCAACTAAGATTTAATGATTTGCTGCATCAGAGATTATTAGATCTTAGAAAGAACATTTGACTAAATTAAATGCATCTGCTTGTGCTTGTATTGTTTAGTTTCATCGATCTTTCTAATTCTAATGATGCTACTAGATTAAATTTTTAGTGCTTGTGCTTGGGTTGTTTAGTAGTTAAGGTTAATTAGATCGCTTGTTTTCTAATTAATTGCGACTAAGGATAGGAAGATAGTTCCAACGGTGAATATTCAGATAGTGAATTGATATATACTTGCATCGATGATCAGTTGTAAATTAAATTTCGATGGTGGATGTTGACTTAGACCAAAGTTTGTTCTCTTGATTGATTTTGATATTTTAATTTGAATTGTTCTTTAGTTGCTTTTCTTAAAATTGTTTTCGTTAAACTCAAACCTCCTTCCATCCTTGTTCAGGAGGCATAAAACTAAGCTATATACTCTCCATGGGAATGATCATTACTTGCACTACTACATGTATGTTTAGGAGTATAAGTTTTATTTTTGGTTGCCTGCGACAGCACACCACTTATCATACTAAGAGCCTGCCCCAACTTAGTTACTAACCAAGCACTGTCGCAGTGCCAATTGGGCCCTACTCCTAGAGCTGCCATTTACACCTAGCCCTTTTCCATCGAACGGTGAGTCTTCTTTGACCTCCCTTTTTTCTCTTTCTTTTGGGTTCTAATTTTTGTATCTTGCAAAAATGGCTCCTAAAGTTGTTGGTAAGAAACTTTTGAAAGAGATTAAGGCATCCAGAGATCAGGTAAACAAATCTTCGCATCTCAAGAAGCCTAGGTTGTCTTCTCCAAAGTTGAAGATAGCTATTTCTAGTTGTCCTACACCTACCATGATCATGTCGAGCTCGAAGACTCCATCTGGTACTCCTCTAGTGCTTCCAGTTGATTCCTCGAGAAATAAGATTGTTGGGGAGGTTGCTTTGGACTTTTCAAGCACATACAAAGAGAGGCCTCCTACTCCTAAAGTCCTTTTCTTGCTCCCCAGTTCTTCCCCTGTTCCTTCGAAGGTCAAAGGGACTGAGAAGCTCCCTGAGGGCTAGTCTACTAATAAAGGGGAGGCACCAACCCCCTACAGGGTTTAGGCCTTCAATATGGGACAATGAAGAGGAAGCCATACTTCGTCTCCTTGAGTTTGTTGATAATAGTAAGATCCAAGTTACCTTCTTAATGGGGCCTGACTAGGTGGTGGCTGTTCTCCAAGAGACCTCCGAGAAGGTGAAACATCTCTTGGCTTTTTGTTGTTACTTTCTATTTCTCACTATTTCCACTTGTGAATAATTGTTTTCTTTATGCAGCTAGCCATTCTTTTCTCGAGTGTTTCTTATACAACTTTACATGATAAGAATTCCTGTGAGAAGGAGTTCCTTTGTCTGGTGGAGAAGATGGAGAAGCTACAAAATAGCTTGTTGGCTTTCCCAAGAGAGGGTCCTTCAGGAATTGAAGGAGAAATGGGACGTCCAGTAGAGCTTGAACTAGATTATCGAGAAAATGAATCAATTTTTGGACAGCAAGAAGGAGGTGGAGTTGAAGCTTTCTGCCTCTAGAGTTCTGTTTCTAATCTGTTTTCTCAAGTGGAGAAGATGAATGAGAGAATGAGTCTTTTTCACTTAGGATTTCTGAATTGTCTATTGCATTGAACACGAAAAAGACTGAGCTCTCTGATGTCTTGAAGAAGAAAGACTTGTTGATGCTATCAAAGTTGTTACTAGTCCAGCTGAGGAAGACTTTAAGGGTCTATCAAGTGGTGTTATTATTTTTTGTTAAGCATGTTACTATTTTTTTTTTATAAAAGTTGATCATGTTACTAATGTTATTTTTTTAAATATTAATATTTAAAGCAATTATTTTTTTATTTTTGAATGTTACTTTTTTTTTTTGTGTTTAAATGGTATTTTATGTATATATATATAGAGAGAAGAGAGAGAAAGAGAGAGAGAGAGAGAGAGAGAGAGAGAGAGAGAGAGAGAAAGAAATAAATAGTCATATTCTATATATGAATATCTTTATAATAAAATAACTTACAATTTAAATCTCAAAAGATAAACAAAATGACTTTTGTTATTCGTAGTTGAGATCGCTTCAAATTTTATTTTAAAGTTAATCTAACGGCTAATATTAACACCTTAAATTTAATATAAAAAATAGACCCTTAATGGTGTGTTTGGAATGACTTTTTAAAAGCACTTTTAAAAATTATTTCTCATATATACTTTAAAAAAAATAGTGTTTGAAACCACCCCATCACTACTTCTACTACCACCGCCGCCACCACTACCATCGTCGTCGCCGCCCCCGCCTCCACCATCGTCGTTGCCACCACCATCGCCGCCGCCCTCGCCGCCACGGTCATTGCCACCTACCACAACCATCACTGTTTCCTACCACCACCACCACCACTATAACCCACCACCTCTTATCCCCAATATAAGCTGATGTTTAAATTCATTGATCTTTTCTTTATGTTTGCGATTTGCTTTTGAATATGAATACAAATATATTTATTATTTATTATTTTTTATTATACTGTGCCTTCAGGCACAGGTAATATCTAGTAAATAATATGAGAAACAAAATTTTAATATTAGTCAAATTCTTAAAATTTAGGAGTTGTTAGTTTTTAAATTTATTTTAATTAAATATAACTAATTATGGTATTTTGGATAATGAAGATCAAAATGGATCAAATATTAAACAAGTTTCCTTGATGGACTTATCACCAAATAAGTCCACAAAGAGGATCGTCCTTCAAAATTTTTATTTATATAAACATTCATAGCCCATTACCTAAACCCATATAGGGGTATTCAAGTAAACTACCTTTATATAGATAATTACTATCAGCTCTATAAAAAAAGAGGCCTAAGGGAAGGCCAAGAAAATGAATAAGAAAAGCTAAAGAGGAGAAGCCAATGAATAAGGAAGATAAAGAAAACTTTGCCCGAGTTCATATTAGAAGGAGAAACGAAGGTCAGTAATGAAGCTTTGCCAAAGTCTACCTCCAATTGAAGGGTTGGAAATCCATCTCTAAAGAGAGAGCACACCACCAATGTCTTTCTTCAAAAAACTCAAATCAATTTTAAGTTGATCAACACAAAGAACGGAGAGATAATCCACCAAAGTCAACACTAAATCGAAAATTGAAAAATAACACTAATCTAGTTCTTTTTTTCACCAAATCCATCAAAACATCATCAAATCAAAGATTGAAAATCATGCTGATCCAATCCTCATTTTCATCAAATATACCAAAGTCAACACTAAATCAATGATCAAGAATCACACCAACTCGACTCTCATATCATCAAATACATCAAAATCACCATCAAATTGAAGATCGAGAATCAGACTGATCCAACCCTCGTCTTCACCAAATTCATCAAGTCACAATCAAATTTATCAAAGTCACCACCAAATTAAAGATCAAAAACTACATAGATTCGGCCCTCGTCTTTACTAAAATTATCAAGAATCAAAGGATTGTGCCCATGGAAAGTACACCAAAGAGAGTCAATACTATTTTTCTATTCAAAAGTCAAATAATCAAATGATTGTAATTTGACAATATTTTTTGTATAATCTTACACGCAAAATTTGTCACCATAGATTTGGGACACTATCTTCCTTTCATCTCTCTAATAAAAAAATTCAGCTAGTCGAACAATAATTGTAACCAAAGACATCCTGATTCATCCCATAGGCAAGTCGGCAGATGTGGTTCAGAAGTCATTCCCAATAACCTGTGCTAGAGCAAAGGTAGACAAATCTCAACTTTTACCACCAATCGAGCACCACTCCAAACAATGGAAAAAATAGTTTTTTTTCACCCAAAAAGAAACAACATGTCCATTCTTCCATTGATCTGGAGGAAGAAACAGATGATTCTCTGTTCAACATATACTTTAGCACAAACTCAAGGACTAAATCCTACTCCAAAACTTCTCCTAAGTAGAAGTGGAGAGATTATTCGTTTGCCTCCGATATGACTATTCCTATCATGGTGATGGAAGTCACTTCATTTAAAGATCGTTTTCAATAACTCATTGATACAATCGAGAGGTGAACCAAAGCCCTTGATAGTAAAGAGATGCAAATTGCTGCGTTCATGGACCGACATGAATTATAAGAACCTTCAAAAGGGAACAATCAAAAACTTCAAACCCATATGACACCAAAACATCAAAAAATACAAAATTTTTAGAACATCTACAGAAGCAAAAACAACATGACCGAGCCATGACACAAAACGCCATTTCAAGGAAATGTCGCAAAATGATTGAAAATATAAACTTGCATGGTATATACATACATACCCACACACTCCCATAAATATATATACATAGAGAAGAGTTGCTCGTTTGGAGAACGCAACGTGCAAATGAGAGTCATTTCTATCATTATAATTTATCTAAAGTTACAATTAAGAAGTTGAATTCTCAACTTATAAAAACACAAATACGATCAGGATTGATCTAATGGTACAAAATTTATCTCTATTTTTTTTCTTACTAAAAAATTCATATTCTCTACACATCCTCCAATGTTAATCTACCTCATTAATTCACACTGTCTCTCTCTTCTCTCTTTCCTCTGCCGTACCTCTCTCTTATTTGTTCTTTGTTCACTTTAAATTTAAATAAAAAAATTAATGAAAAAAAGAGAAAATATAAATTATTATTTAAAATATAACTATTATATGATTAATGCTCAATTTTTTATATTGTAAAGTGTCTTCAAGTATAGAATTATTGCTAGTATATGATATAAGAGGAATTGAACGTTACACTATTTTCAACAATATAAGAACACATATGTACTATTGCATAGATCTGTGCTCAATTTTTTGATGGCAAGAATATATCATACCATTAGTAACTATTTATCAATATGCATGCTATGTGTATGCAAACATAATCAAAATCTAATTTACAAAAAGATATGAGTAGTGCAGAAACTTCACATTTCCCTATAGTCAAACACCTAAACTTATGGCATACCTAAGAAAAAAAAAACTCATGAACTTATGAAAATGACTATATATAGTACCGAGAAGTTTTTTCAGTATTGTACCAAAAAAATACTATTGTTAAGAGTCAAGTTATACCTTCTAAAGAATAAATTATAATTTTTTATGATTGATTATAACATTGTGATCGGTAATGAATAACCTCAAACAATTAGTTATAAATTTACTTATAAAAGGTGCAACTTGATTTTTAAAAGATTTATTTTTGGTGATGATCACCAAGTTATAATCAATAACAATTTTTTTTAGTTATAATTTAGAGTCTTTTGAGTTGTAACTTATGTTGAAGCTTAAATATGCACCATCTACAATAATTTAAATTTTTTGAGTACATAATTTTTTAACACAATATTAAAGCATGAGGCTTTGTGTTTGAATAACTCCATCACTTGAATATTAAAAAATTCACACGTGCTAGGCTCAAAATGCAGCTCCCACAAGAGGTGTGTGTTGGCCCTTGTAGAATTTAGTTTGTGTGTTGATTCGGATGATGATTCGATCCAAAATAATGTTGTGTTGTTTTTAATGAGAAATTTTCTGAAGCCTCCGCTCATGGACAAGCCTCATGGGGGTTTGGGAGCAATGCCCTCGAGAAAATTTTTTTGGCCTGTTTTGTAGCCTGGTGCACAAGACATATAAAAAAAACCTGTTACTTTGATGATTAGGGTTTGAGAAAAATTGTAAAGCCGCCCTCTGTATTTCTCATTCTCGAAATAGTGAAATCCTTGCAACTTCGTGGACGTAGGCAAATTGTCGAACTATGTAAAATCTGTATATCTTGTTCTTTTTTGTTTCTTATTGCTTTATGTTCTTGGTTTATTTTTTGATTGTGTGTTTATATGTGAGTTTAAAGCATATTAAATCCGAGCAGTGTGTTGAATTAAAAATATTTAAATTACACTAGTATATATTTTTATAATAGATGACTGTTTAATGAGTAACATCTTCAAAATTTTTTAACTTGACCGGCTATTGCTTATACTTGGGCAACATTCTGATTGAGAAACTTAAATGTGATCCATTTTTTTTGTATTAATCTCTCTATATCAAATTCACACATGTAATAAGACGCAAATGGGTATACAAGGAAGAATATTACAAAGTTGATGTTTTATTAGTGGTACAAATACCAAAATTTGTCATTATCCAGTATGCTAAATACTAAAATCACATATAAGAATTTCAACCTCTTTCACTCCGATTAGAGATATACTATGTTTTGTTTTATCAGATAGTCTCTCTCTCTCTCTCTCTCTCTCTCTCTCTCTCTCTCTCTCTCTCTCTCTCTCTCTCTCTCTCTCTCTCTCCCTGACTGCCACGGGCAATACATTTTGGTGGTCATGAAGCCCTTTGTTTTCTATATATAGGTTCTACCAACACTTTTATAGGCATCAACACATTCATATTTCTTCTCTTCTCTATTCTTTGGGAGAAAAAGCATGGAGGCCTCCTTTACATATCTGCTGCCTTTTGCAGTCCTCTCTGTAATACTCTCTCTCCTCTTCCTAAATCGAAAACGGAATTCGAGTGGCTTAAACCTTCCACCAGGTTCGAGTGGATGGCCAATGGTTGGGGAAAATATGGAGTTTGTTCTACAAGGGCCTCAAAAATTTGTGTACGAGAGGATGAACAAATACTCGCCCGAAGTGTTTCAAACATCTTTGTTGGGAGAGAAATTGGCAGTGTTTTGTGGGGCGCCAGGGAACAAGTTTTTGTTCATGAATGACAGCAAACTTCTCACTTCGTGGTGGCCACAATCGATGAAAAAAGCTTTGCTATTCCCAGAGTATGCTGACAATTCTGTGAAGGAAGTTGGAGCTCTACAACGTAGTTTTCTTCATGAAATTCTTAAGCCTGAAGCCCTTAAACAGTACATACCACTAATGGACGCCATGGCACGTGAACACGTTGAGACTGAATGGGCTCCTTGTGAAGAAGTTAAGGTTTTCCCTTTGTCGAAGAAGTACACTTTTGCACTAGCCTGCAAATTGTTTATGAGTGTGGAAGATCCTGACCATGTGAAAAGATTGGCAGATCCCTTTACTCTTGTTACTTCCGGGATGTTCTCAGTACCTATAGACTTACCTGGCACGGCCTATAATCGTGCTATCAAAGGGGGAAAAATGGTTCGCGAAGAGCTCCTAAAGATCATCAGGGCGAGAAGAAATGAACTAATGGAGAGCAAAGAGACATCAGATCGGGATCTATTGTCTCGTATGCTACTCATAACAGATGAACAAGGACAGTTCATGAATGAAATGGAAATTTCTAATAACATCATAGGTTTACTTGTTGCAAGCTATGAAACCACGAGTACTGCAGTCACATTCGTTTTGAAGTATCTTGCAGAGCTTCCCCATATTTACTCTGAGGTGTATAAAGGTAATAAATACTTCAAAACCTCGATTTAGTTTCTTCTTGATCATAAGTGTATACTAGGTTTATGGTTCAATACCACTAACAATTGGTTATTTTTAAATTGATTTGGCCTTTTTCTAACAGAACAAATGGAGATTGCTAAGTCCAAAGGTCCAGGTGAGTTGTTAACTTGGGAAGATATTCAAAAGATGAAGTATTCTTGGAATGTGGCTTGTGAGGCACTGAGACTATCACCACCTGCTCAAGGAGCCTTTAGAGAGGCTATAACTGACTTTACATATGCAGGTTTTACCATTCCAAAGGGATGGAAGGTATGACACATGTGACACTTTGGAATAATAACTTAAAAATTAAATGATATTTATCTCCCGAGAGATATTAAAATTTTCACTTTATCTCATCAACAACTAAAATTTTTATATTGAAAACAGAAATTTCTTTAAACAATAGCATTGCTCAATGCCAGTCTAATGGTTGGCCCATGGCGCCAATCGCCCTACTTTTGAGAAATTTAACGATCCATGTGGGATTTCTTATCTTTGATGGAGCAAAATAAAAATTTTGAAATCTGTTAGAGAGCAAAATGTCATTAATCCATAAAATTATATAACACTTGCAACAATTTTTCTTGCAGACGTTCTGGACTGTGCATACATCACACAAAAATCCTAAATATTTTCCTGAGCCAGAAAAGTTTGATCCTTCAAGGTTTGAAGGAAGTGGGCCACTCCCGTTCACTTTTGTACCCTTTGGGGGAGGACCTCGGATGTGCCCTGGGAAAGAGTATGCTCGACTGGAGGTGCTGGTTTTCATGCATAACGTGGTCAGGAATTTCAAGATGGAGAAAGCAATTCCTAATGAGAAGATAGTATACCATGCATCACCTGTTCCAATGAATGGTCTCCCAGTTCGTCTCCTACCTCATGCAAAATAAATCTACGAAGGCTTCATTATAAACTTCATCTACAGTAATAAAGTTGGTCTGTGCAACTGTATTTTCAATATTCAAAGTCTATGTTCAACTTGTCCCTGTTACAATTTGTGAAATTTCCCACAGTTCTACTGCTAAATGTAATAAACGTTGAATTTATCAATTGAATATCCTATTTCTTTTTACATCGGCTTCGAGCTTAATGTGTGGCATTCAAAATATTTTACCGCACTGTTCATTTTTATTTACAAAATTTTAGGTCAAAAAAATATTTAGAAGTTGCTTTATTTACGAATAAATAAAGATATTAAAGTCCTACGTGATCAGGAACAGAGCTGAAAATTGATGGGAAAAGGGGCAAAAATTAACGATAAGTAGACAAAAATTAAACTAATAATAAATCAAAAATTTTAAATATTGATTAATAATTCTTTGATTTAATAAATTTATTATTGATTTAAAATGGTTTTTATGTTGTTAAAACAGTACAGGATAATCTAGCTATCATTGCTATTAACCATATTTTCAGGGTGGGCCTGGACTGAATCCAAGTATGTATATGGGGTCTCAGATAATCAAACTCCCCTAGTTTTGCCAACAGACTTGATCTTACCATCAATATCAGCATCTCCTGGAATTTATTTATCTGAAGAAATTTTTTTGAACCATTACTACATGGCTGTTCATTTTACAAGCTATACTAATAATGAGGCATCACAAGTACCTCTAGAATGGAAGACCTGTTAGAATGGAAGAACCATTACTACATGGCTGTTTCTAGAAACTTGACTTTAATTTTCCTGAGTCTTGGCAAGACATCCTCCATGTTGATCCTCTCATCAGGTGAATCACTGGAACAATCCATGGCCAAATGTAATAGTGATGACACACAATGCTCCTTCACAGAATAATGTTCATCCTCTCTTCCAATCAGATTAGTGTCCACAACTTCCATTACCGAACCAGCTAATGCTTTGTTCACCCATTTCTTCAAGCTTAATTCTCCAGCAAACATTTCATCTGTTGGCTTCTTCCTTATGAATGTTTCCATCAACAGAATTCCATAACTGTAGACGTCGCCCTTTGTAGATATAATTCCTTCCATTCCATACTCTATGCATGACATTAGTTGTCAACATAATATCAATCAATGAAAGTAAACCCAATAACCATGTAAGACAAATACAAAATAACTAAAACCCAACAACTTAAATTATGGAAAAGGCTATGGTGGCAAAAATATATTTTCTTTACCCTATCTCAAGTTACGACTAAATAGGGTGAGATTACACTCAAACGCATCAAGTTACAACTCAATTGGATCGATAGGGATTGATCCCAACTTTCTTGAACCCCATTGAGTCATAACTTAACTTTCTTGAGATCTGGGTCGTAACTTTCGATAGGTATAGAGTTCTCTTCCTTGAATTATAAAGTGTGGATAATCACCTGGTGCCATGTACCCGACTGTTGCCAAGGTCGTTGTCTGTGCTGTGAACTCTCCTTCACCGAAGAGTTTGGAAATACCAAAATCTCCAACGTGTGCAATCATATCTTCATCCAGTAGGACATTGCTGGGCTTCAAATCACAGTGAACTACAGGTGTTGTATGACCATGATGTAGATATTCCAAGGCTGATGCAACATCAATCATTATGTTTAGCCGCTGTAGGATATCCAAACAATAGTTATGAGAGTATAGCCATTTCTCAAGGCTCCCGTTAGGCATGTAGTCTAGTACCAAGGCTTTGAAATCCATGTTAGAACAACTACTGATTATTCCAACAAGATTCCTATGTCGAATGTTCCGCATTACTTCACATTCCACGTCAAAACTCTTGAATGCTCCTTCTATCTGCAAATTGAAGACTTTTACTGCAATACTAACTTCACCTGAAATCATTCCTTTATATACCGAGCCAAAACCCCCTGTACCGAGAAGGTTGTCGTCACTAAATGCATGCGTTGCCTGTAGAAGTTCGTAGTATGAAATCCTTTTCCACGCAAAAGGTAATGAATCTGCATGGTCTTGTCTATTCATGTTTTGTTTTCGCCATCTTAGCAACACATATATAATGGCAGGTACAAGGATACCCAATGTGATCATGGGTGGTAAAATATATCGCAGTAGAGACACAATTTTGGCCCTTGATCGCTGCAGAGTTCTGGTTTTACATGGTAGGACTTGCAATCGAGGTGCACCACATAACTCATCATTTTGCATAAAAGATTGAGCTGTGAAGTTTACAAAACTTCCTCCCGCGGGAATTTCTCCTTGCAGTCTATTGAAAGACAAGTTTAGGTGTTGGAGATACCTGAGTTCCTCCAAGGACGTGGGAATCGCTCCAGATAAATTGTTATTGGAGAGATCTAAAGTTTGCAAGCTCGTTAAGGAGCCCAAAGATCGAGGAATAGGTCCTTGAATATTATTATGCGCCAAGGAGATAGAAATCAGTGTCTGGGCACCTCCTATGGTGCTTGGGATGTCTCCTGACAACTGATTCCATGACAAGTCTATCTGTGTTATCGCCCTCAAATTTGCAATATCTGACGGTAGATAACCACTTATAGAATTTAAAGATAGATTTAGACCCAAGAGATCTGTAAGGCTCCACAAATTCAAGGGTATAGTGGAATTCAATCTGTTGGAATGTAAGTAGACACCACGCAGAGATTTTAGATCACCCAAGCAATTTGGTATGGGTCCATGGAGCATATTGTCATTTAGATACAGGTCTCCCAAGTTCTTTAACTGACAAAGATCTGTGGGGATGTATCCTTGTAGTCGATTGTTTTCAAGATATAAACGTTGGAGATGGTCCAATCTTCTGAGTGCTGTCGGGATAGATCCTGTCAAATCATTGTCATCTAAGCTTAAGGTATGCAAGCTGATCAAGTTTCCAATTTCACTGGGGATGTCGCCCTTAATTTTGCATCCAAATGCTCCCAAATATTCAAGAGAAGTAGACAGATTTCCTATAGATTTCGGGAGGATGCCATTCAGTTGATTTAATGATATTTCCAAGAGCCTCAGATTTCTGCAATTGGCTAAATAAGAGAAAAAACTCAATTCTGGAGTAGAAAATTCCCTCGTCAAATTATTCCCTCCAATGAAAAGCTCCTCCAGGAGTCTTAAATTACCAAGTGAATTGGGTACAGTGCCAGAGAATGAGTTTACGATCAGGCTTAGGATGGTAAGCTTGGAAGAATTTGAGATGGAGCTTGGGATTATTCCACTGAGTTTATTGTTGTCTAGATAAAGCCTCTCAAGATTGGGAAGCCAAAGCCCCATAGTCGATGGGAGACGCCCTGAGAATTGATTGAAACTCAGGCCGAGCATTCTCAGGGCTGACATATTGAAGATTCTCAATGGAATGAAACCAGTGAAGCTGTTCTCTGCCATGTTTAATCGTGTCAGATTAAGGGTACCAATCTCCTCAGGTAATGAACCTGCAACAATATAAACACCCTTGCATTACTTATCAAGCTTTAAAAATCCTAAAGTCTTATTCTTGTTGAATTCACTACTTCTGTTAAAGAAGAAAAAAATCTTAGCTTGTAGCTGCTTGTAATATTTGTTTGTAAAATATTTCAGTGAAAGTAGCATGCATTTATCTAATGTAATTCTTGCAAAAAGTTTTACCTCCCCTTAAAGTAAGCCTTCTTGTTGTATAACAAAATATAAATTCCATGAATCCATGCATGAATCTTATAAAAAAAAGACGTTACTTCCAATTTCATGCTTGGTTTTCTTTGTGGGAGACATTGTTGGCATTAGAGTTCGACTTACTACTATTAAGCCATAGAGTGACTACTTGCTCTATTGTGGCTGTGGATGACTATGAAGCTATCGTATTAGTAGATAAAGACAATGTTTTTACTCAAAGGAAAGAGTCTTGCCACTAGACAATGAACATTTTCGGTAATGTAATAGACATCCTTTTTGGGTAATTGTGAATCATCACAACCACGCATCCTTTGGAATCATGGCTGCAATGCAAATCTTGGATGCAAAAAATTACCAGCAAACCACACACATCGATCAAATTCAGGTTTTAGGCGGTCGAGGAACTTGGACTCAGGACATAGGGCTTATGCCTGACTTCTTGTTCGGCCAGACCACTACTGAACCAATCCATGCAGGTTCACCTAACAAATATTTAAGCACAAATAATTTAGCTTCGATTTTTGAATTTTAAGCAAGAAATAGGGCCCGCCCGGAGGGGGGGGGGGAGAGAGAGGAGAAATGCAAGCCAAATGATAGCTGTACCAATAAAGCAATAATCTCACTGTTGTGATCGTGTAGTAATTATGGTGAATAATAAAGAATCAATCAATTAAGAAAGCAAGAAAAATGACACAGAGATTTACGCGATTCGATAATGTGCCTATATCCACAGGAGCGAGCGACCATTCTTTTTAATTATTTAAAATAGGATTACATCTTAAATATTTATATAACCCTAATACGGATGTATTTACTAAATATCCCTGCACTGTACCGCAGGGGCGTTGCCCCCACACCCCCAGCTAATCAGCGTTCCCCCTATACATAAAAATATATCAATCCTGCAAAAGCAAATGCCATTGCGCGAAAAACTCCGTCCCCCCCCCCCCCCACTCTGTTCATCTGCTCCTTGCCATTGTACACACAACAAATATGAGTCACATATACTCTAACAAATTTCACCTTGGCAAATATTCACTCCTTAGAAGAAAAAAAAAAAAACATATATCCGGGAACTCCACGTGGGACGCTAAGTTGGGGCATCTCCCATCTAACAACTAGAAACATTAATTAAGTCCAAGCAGTGCTTGAACTTGTCTGTAGTAACAGGCTTTGTCAACATGTCTGCTACATTATCAGAAGTGTGAACTTTCTCAAGTAATAGTTCACCAGAAGAAACCAGCTCCCTGATCTTATGAAACCTCAAATCTATGTGCTTGGTCATCGTATGATACACCTGGTTCTTTGCCAAATAAATGGCACTCTGACTGTCACAATGCAACTGAACTCCGCCTTGCTGGGCACCCAGCTCTTGACCAAACCTGTAAGCCACAAAACCTCATTGGCAGCCTCAGCTACTGCCATATACTCTAACTCAGTTGTAAATAGTGCAACTATAGGCTGTACCGTGAACTTCCAACAAATAGGTCCTCTCACAAGAGTAAACACATAACTTGTGGTAGACCTCCTGTCATCCAAGTCTCCTGCATAGTTTGCATCCACATATCCCACAACTGAAGGGTCACTCTCTTGTCTGCTAAACATGATGCCATAGTCTGTAGTGCCCCTCAAGTATCTGAAGATCTACTTGACTGCATTCCAATGCTGTCGACCCGGATTTGAAAGAAACTTACTAACCACGCTGATAGCTTGTACCAAATCTAGTCTTGTACAAACCATAACATACATCAAACACCCCACTGCACTAGCATATGGGACCTTTGACATGTCATGAAATTCATCATCTGTCTTCGAGCACTGAGCGGTAGACAATCTAAAATGATTCGCCAAAGGTGTACTTACTGGTTTTGTATAACTCATGTTGAACCTGTCCAACACCTTCTCAACATAGTTATGCTGAGATAGTCATAATCTCCTGGAAGCTCTGTCCCTGTGAATCTCCATCCCAAGAATCTTCTTAGCCGCACCCAAATCCTTCATGTCAAATTCTCTGCTCAACAAAGTCTTCAACTTGTTGACCTCACTCATACTCTTGATAGCAATCAACATATCATCCACATAAAGTAACAGAAAAATAAATGAATCATCATCAAAGCTTTTCACATAGACACAACAATCATACTCACACCTTTTGTAGCAAATCCGGATCATGTAAGAGTCAAATCGCTTGTACCATTGCCTTGGAGACTGCTTCAACCCATAAAGTGATTTCTTCAAATTACAGACCAAATGTTCCTCTCCAGGGAGACTGAACCCTTCTGGCTGTACCGTGTAAATCTATTCCTCCAAGTCGCCATGAAGGAAAGTTGTCTTTACATCCATCTACTCCAACTGCATATCTGAATGTGCTACTAATGCCAACACTGTCCTAATGGAAGTGTGCCTGACCACAAGGGAGAAGATCTCATCATAGTTAACCCATTTTCTTTGTGAGTAACCCTTTACTACTACGTGAGCCTTGAATTTTTTCTCCTCTTTTTCTGATACTGCTTCTTTTTTTTTATACACCAATTTGCACCCTATCGATCTCTTCCCCTCAGGAAGCTCCACCAACTCCCATGTCTGGTTCTTATGCAGAGACTCCATCTCCTCCACCATAGCACCCATGCATCTATTTTTCTCTTGGCTTTGTACTGCCTCTTGAAAAGTTGTAGGATCCCCGCTTCTAGTAATAAGCGCATAAGAAACCAAATCTTCAAACCATACCTGGTAGGCGGCTTGATATTGTGTTTGGGCTTGTTTGTGGCTATACTGTGATGTTGCTGATCACCTGAGATAGGACTCTTTACATGTTGAGCATCCTCTTCTCTACCATGGTTTTCTAGCTCCACCCACACCACATGCTCATTAGTGCTACAGTTTTCTGGCACTTGTTTCTCTTCTTCCTGAGTATACTACAACATGACTTTTTCATCAAAAATCATATCTCTACTGACCACCATCTTGTTTGCCTTCGGATCCCAGAGCTTGAAGCCTTTCACCCCTTTCTAATTTCCCATAAAGATACACTGCCTAGACTTCGCATCAAGCTTCGACCTCTCCTCACTAGAAACATGTACATAGGCGGAAAATCCAAACACTCTCAAACCAGAGTAGTCTACCTCACTGCCTGTCTACACCTCCTCTAATACTTTCCCATCTAGTGCTGCCCTCGTTGATCTGTTAATCAAGAAACATGTCATATTCACTGCATCTGCCCAGAAATTCTTTGCAAGCCCTGTATTCAACCTGAGACATCGAGCTTTCTTAGCTATCGTTCTGTTCATCCTTTCCGCTACACCATTTTGTTATGATGTCTTGCGGACTGTGAAGTGTCTCTTGATCCCATGCTGCTTACACAACTCCTGAAACTTTGAATCTGTGTACTCAGTATCATTATCTGACCTGAGGCATTTAATCTTCCTCCCTGTCTGGTTCTCTACTTCAGCTTTCCACAACTTGAACTTGGCAAACACTTCGAACTTGTGCCGCATGAAGTACACCCAGACCTTTCGCGAGTAGTCATTAATGAAACTCACGAAATACATATATCCTCCCCGTGATACTACACTGACTAGTCCCCAAACATCTGTATGGACATAGTCGAGAATCCCCTCTGTCTTGTGTGTGACTGTCTTGAACTGCACCCTGTTCTGTTTTCCAAGAACACAATATTTGCAAAAATTGAGCTTGCATATCTTGACACCCTTTAATAGATTTTTATTTTGAAGCTCTATCATCCCACGCTCACTCATATGACCCAGCCGCATATGCCACAAGACTGTATTATCTAATTCAGACTCTACAGCAGCAACTCCACCTATAATCGTGGTACCCAGCAGTCTGTAAATGTTTCCTGCTACTTTCTGTCCCTTCATCACTGTCAGCATGCCTTTACTCACTTTCATTACTCCACTTATAGATTTGTAACTATAATCATTACAATCTAAAGTGCCCAATGAAATCAAATTCTTCCTTAGATCCGATACATGTCTAACATCACACAACGTTCTAATCACACCATCAAACATCTTAATTCTAATATTCCCTATTCCAACAACTTTGCAGGATGTATTATTACCCATCAGAACAGAACTAGAATTTACTGACCTGTAGGTGTCAAACCAGTCTTTGTTGGGTGTCATGTGATAGGAATATGTTGAATCCATAATCCAGGAATCTGTTAGACGATCTGAACTGGATGAAACAGAAAGCATATCACCGTCACCGCTCTTTGAATCTTCTTCTTCCACTACGTTTGAAGACTTTGATGGACCCTCTTTGTCCTCTGAATTCCTTTTCTTTTTCTCTGGACAGTCCCGTTTAAAGTGTCCCTTTTTCCCGCACTTGTAACATGAGACGGAGACGTCCTTCTTCTTCCTCGACTTGGACCAGACTTTATTGTTACCCGATCAATTCTGAGATTTGCTTTTTCCACGTTCCTAGTTACCTTTCACCACAAGCCCTTCACCTTGTGAAGCCTCATCACTGGCTTTCTTTCGCTAATGCAAACCTAACAGAGCACCTGTGACATCCTCCAACTCGAGGGTTTCTTTCCCCCACATCAGAGTCGTAATCAAATTCTCGTACGTAGGAGACGCTGGTAGGAAATTCAGCAACATCAACGCCTTGTCTTCGTCTTCGAACTTCACATCAACTCGCTTCAGATCGCTGATGATTTGATTGAACACGTTGATGTGTTGGCTCAGATCCGAGCCCTCTGACATCTTAAGACCATATAATTTCTGCTTAAGATAAAGCTTGTTCGTCAACGACTTGAATATATACCGAATTTTCAGTTTCAACTAAACTTTCGCCGGTGATTCCTCATCCATGACGTGATCCATCACGTCATCAGCCAGACAAAGCCTAATGGTCACCACAGCCTTCGCTTCCAATTCTTTTCAATCCATGTTGTTCATTCTTATCGGTTGTTTTTCGTATAACGCCTTCACCATGTCCTGCTGCACTAACAGATCTTTCATCCTCCTCTGCCATAATCCGAAATTTCCAGTTCTGTCGAACTTCATCATGTCGAAATTTGCAGAAGAAATCCCAGACATCGTAGCCTGGCTCTGATACCAATTGTTGTGATCGTGCAACAATTATGGTGAATAATAAGAAATATATCAATTAAGAAAGCAAGAAAAAATGATACAGAGATTTATGTGGTTCGGCAATGTGCCTACATCTACAGGAGTGAGCGGCTGTTATTTTCAATTATTCAAAGTAGGGTTACATCTTAAGTATTTATATAACCCTAGTACGGACGTATTTATAAAATACTCTTGTACCGTACTGCGGGGGCGTTGCCCCCGCACCCCCAACTAATCAACGTCCCCCCATACATAAAATATATCAATTCCACAAGGCAAAATGTCGTCTTTGGACTCCCCCCCACTCCTGCATCTACCTCTTTATCATTGTGCATAACAACAAATATGAGCCGCATATATTCTAACACTCATAGTTTAGCCAATAAGTTTCGTTGGTTTGTTTTTGGTGGTACAAATGAATTTGTATTGTTGGTATCCCAACTAGCTAATGATTTATCACTGGATAATGCATCATGGTAGGAAACTATTACATCTAGTAATGCCAAATCGATAGAAGTCCTGTGAATAAGCAAGAGGTCATCTTCATTTATAAGGATGATTTTCATCGGTATAACTTGATTGAGACATTGAGGGAGGTTATGAGCTTATCTCTCAATGAAATGTATTGCACAGAGCAGATTAACGCTAGGGTTAAGTGACCATCTATAATAACTCAAAATCTATTGGAAAATTGCAACGAATTTTGGTAGTTGTCATTTGGTTGTTCTCTTTACCTTGGCTCTCTTGGTCGGTGCTCTGTTTCTCCCCTCATTTTCATCACCTCTTCCCTTTTTTATTTTAGAATGTGAATTGAAATTGGACTTAAATTTGAAATTCTAATATTTGAAAATATAGCTTGAACTTTTATACCCTGATATTGATGTAGGATAGCTATGCGAAATTAAAATCGAAGTTGTTTAAGGGCTGTGAACAGTACCTATGAACAATAATATTGGGTAGAAATCACTCTTAGAGTTTCTTATGCATCACACCTAAATGGTTACAATTGCATCACATAACTCAAGAAGCATATAATTACTGAAATTTAAATTTCTCTCTATATTTTATTAAAAATATCACAAACTATATATAGTGCTCTAAATACTCGTAATCCCAAAACTAAAAGATTAGGATTTCAAAGTGGTTAGGACTCCAAAACCTCTAGATTACTAAAAATTAGAAGACTAAAACAAAACAGAACTAAGGCTCTAAATTCTAGTATATCCAATACTAGAGTTTGACCCAAAAGACTATGACTCATTCTAAAATTATAAAAATATCCTTAAGTCTAAAAACTATGAAAATGACATAAAATATTAATATTAGTAAACTGACTCAAACTAACTTAAAATAAGGCTTAAAATATAATAATGTAAAGTTTCATATAGATCTTTGTCTTGATGACAAGCCACGTTCATTATTTTTCATATCTTTGAATTTGTGTTTTCTTGAACATCTCATAGATTGCATTAGATGTTTAAATTAAAATTTGGATGTGAGCATCACGAATTTGTCTTTGATTAAACTAAAAATTCAAAGGATGAGGGAGCACATGCATACACTATGAGCTCGTTTGGTAGACATATTATGAGGAGATTAAATATTAGATTGTATTATTTTTTTTTTAATTAGGCCAAATACTTTGTTTGGTAAGTAAATTTGATTTCATATTAATTTCAAAAACAGATATTAATCGTATACTTATCGTATATTTTTTATACGATAGACTTGTATTATGGAGGTCTTTTAATACCACCAAGAAATGTGATATTATAATCCAATTTAAACGTATTATTCTACATATTTACTATTATAACCCTCCAAGTGATAAAATCAAGTTGTCATCAATGTAACAAACACTAATCGAAGGTATTTTTGTTAATTCAACATTAATATGATAAAATAATTCTCTAACCAAACAACCGTTTGAATTAAATAACTATTATCCAACGCTTATACTGTGTATTACCAAACACTATATAAAATTATGTATTATTCTAATACCATATGTAATTTTATCTTTTATCTATCTGTATTGTATTAGACTGTATTATTTTATCTAATTCATCCATTTTTAATACTGCAACTAAACGAGCCCTATATGGAAGACTTGAATTTGCTCGATTTGTTATGGTTTTCACATATATTATTCGGAATTGGGTTTCTATAATTTGAATTCTAAATTTAGCTACTGATGGATTAAGTTGTTTTGATTGACTTCTTGAAATTCAATTTTGTGTTTTTTGTGATGAATGAAATTTCTTTTTGATTGTTTCAATTAAATTTGTTCTATTCAATTAGATTTTGATATTCGACTTCTGAGTTTTATATAAATTATATCTTTGAATAGATTAGATCGGTTGATTGGTTTTTTTAATATAGACTAAACACCATATTTGTAATATATCAAATAATCTTAGCACTCTGACTTTAATCAATTAATGAGTTATAAGTTGGCCCCAGTGCACAAATGTTTTGGCTCTGCCCAATGCAGATTGATTATGTTTAAGAAGTAAATTGACAAACGGAAAGCAAAGGCGATAAATAAAAAGAGGTACCTGTCAGGTTGTTACCACCTAGATTTAGACCTTTGAGCTGAGTGAGGTTCCCAACTTGTTTAGATACGGTACCTGTCAATTTATTCTCTGACAAATCGAAGAGATAAAGCCCTCTGCTTTCCCATAATGCAGACGGGATTTCGCCACCGAGCTGATTGTAAGACAGATCTATCTCTTCAAGAACAGGTAGATGATACCGAATGTTCATCGGAAGGCTTCCAGATAGGCTGTTGTTTGTGAAATCAATCTTTCTCAAAGAAGACAGGTTGAATATATCAGATGGAATGGACCCTGTTAGGGAGGCACTCGGTATGCTCAATTCTTCTAGATGTTCAAGATTACCTATCTCTTTTGGAATAGTACCTGCTAAGTTGTCAAAATAATGTCAAACCACATTATATTAATGTGCCTGCATTGAATATAAGCCGACATCACACCAAATCTCTAGCAAAGAAGAACTTGTAAGTACATCACTTTTCAGTGTTATAGCCACAATTTCGTTCAATGAAAAAGAACATACCATACATCAAAAGAAAAGAATTGCATTAAATGCAGAAAGTAATATAATACCTCTTAGGGCGTTAAATCCAAGAAATAAGGACTTGAGCATAGTCACGTTGCCAGTTTCTTTAGGTATGCCGCTATTAAAGCCATTGTAGGACAGTGACAGATATTGGAGCTCCCTACACTTGTATAAACCGGGTGGAATTGGCCCGTTGAGCTGATTCAATGACAGGCGAAGTGCTTCGAGCCTAGGCAGATGATCACAGATATCCATTTGGAGACCACCAGATAGGCTATTAGCTGTGAGATCTAATACTTGCAATGAAGATATGTTGAAGATGCCAGATGGTATAGAACCCGTAAGCTGGTTAAATTTCAAGTCAAATAATTTCAGGTTGGAAAGATTACCAACCCCTTCAGGTATATTTCCATGCAGAAAATTGTACTTCAAATCCAATGTCTCCAGCTTTGAGATGTTGCATAGAGAAGGCGGAATAATACCTTCGAAGCTATTATTATACAGCACCAGGTGCTGAAGTTCGGGTAAAATCCCAATCCATGATGGTACCTCTCCACTAAAGTTGTTGAATTCCAAACGGATTTCTTTCAACTGATTCAAATGAGCCAACTCGTTCGGTATGTAGCCATGGAAACTGTTGGAACTAAGGTCCAGTGTAGTAAGAAACGATAAGTTTCCAAGATGTGGAGCTATGGTGCCACTGAGACCCATGTCAGAGAGATTCAAAGCCGTGACTCTTCCGGTAGCGCAAAAGACCCCTACCCAGTTGCAGACAGAGGAATTAGTGGACCAACTATCCGCAAATGCACCTTCAGAGTTGAAAGTGATATGGGTTTTGAATGCCAGAAGTGCAGATTGATCCACAGTTAAGTTCGTTACTGTCTCAGCCAGGCAAACCATCGAAACGCTAAGCAGCAACATTGCAACAGCACAGCGGAAGCATGTCTTCTCCATCTGTAAATCGAAACCTGGACTTGTATTTGGCAAACAAAGATGGGTAATGAAATCATGATCTTCTGAGATGGAAATTCAAATGATTATATGCACCGTTCAATGATCAGATAAGAACTAAACCGAACCCGAGTGTTCCCACAGGAAGTGGACATAGTGACGGGCTTGCATAAGCTATCTTTAATCGGCTCGCCCAGATTGACCACTCAACTTGAACGTTTCCCAAAAATTGTGCGAATATTTTAATAAATTATTATTATTTTTCTTATAATTGATAAAAATAAAATAATAATTTATTTAATACTTAAACGTTCATTAAACCCACCAATTCGAAATTTGGTAAACCTAATATATACAAATGATAACATTTTTTTACAAAATATTAACTAATTAAAATCAACTTAATTAGTTACATTGCATAACATTGTGAAATTTGGTAACCCTAGTACTTTGAAAGCATTGCATAACAATTTTATTATTTTTTAGATACATAATCATGTTATCACTTTGGTATTTATAACTTATTTGATCGATTATGCAGTTCAATGTATACTCTATAATTTTTATCATAATTAGGAAAAATTAATTTCAAAATCACAAGTAAACTAGCGAGTATGTATCTCATGTCTTTTTCAATCTTAGAAAATATAAAATAATTCTAGTATATTCAAAATTCATCTAAATATATACATAACCTGTTCAAAATGTGTCAAAAAAATTCATATTCATTTGATATAAATATACATTAATTGATGTGCCAAAAAAAATAGGGAGGACATAATTAAAATTATTCATTTGATATTAGTGTACATTAATTGATGTGCTAAAAAAATAGGTTGGACATAATTAAAAATATTAAAGAAATACTTAAAATACATGAGCCTAATATTTTTGTCTTTGATTTTGGGTGGGCATAAGTAATATATTATACAAATATATAATATACATACCTAAGTAATTAATTTTTTTTTTTAGGGGGACACTTGTCTACCCTGGAACAGGCTGCCTCCGCCCTTGGTTTCATCTAATTTTTACTGTATAAAATGATTAAACAGACTCTTGCACTGTAGTTTGTTGCACATGGCTGAAATGTCTATTTTTTGAGGCTAGTGGTATGGGGTGGTGGGCTTGCTTTCGACAAGTTGTTTTGTTTATCAAGATTCCAATTGCATTGTTCGCATAGGGCACCGCAATTGACACTATTTCATACTTTCCTGCATGCTGAGTATATATTGCAATCAATTTAAGCATGTTATTCAATCTCTAGACCAGGTATAGGGTAAGGCGTTAAGCTAACGGTGTTAAGCGAACCGAGCATTTTGAATTTTAGTATATTCAAGGTCGGTATGAATTAACTATTATTGATTCAAACAACTCGAGCTTTAAATTATATGTTTAGGTTCGATTTAGTTTGAATGAGCTCGAATTTAAGAGTTAAAACACAAAAACATGTTAATTATTATCTCATTTAAAAGTTTAAATTATTAGAAATAGTGTAACATGCTAATATAATCTTCTTTTTTTTTAATAGAAACGGTATATTTTTATTGATCATAAGCTGACTATATCATGCTGAATGAGAGAAATTACAAAGGGAGGACACTCTTCTTCCCAAAGATAAGGAGTAATACAAATTTTTGCATGTTTAGCAGGATAATTTGCCACTTTGTTTCCTTCTCTTCGAGTCCAAGAGATTGAATATTTCTCAAAACCATTCGTAGTGCTCCGGAGTTGGTCAGTGAACATACTAACAACAAACAAGTTCGACGTCCCACACTTCAAAGCATCGGTTACAACTTTCGAATTCCCTTTCAATAAAACTTTCGTATAACCTGAATCAATGACCAATTTGGCAGCTGCTGTTGCTGCTATGGCCTCAACTAGATTAGGTTTCAATTTTCGACAAAATATACTCTTCAAACCCATAATATTTGGCTTAGCAATCAAACGCCTAACGATTAATCTAAGGATACTACTCTGCTATTTTTACAACTTAAAAGAACTTTTATATGTAATATGATAAATGAATTAATATCGAGGTGAAAACACATTATGTTGGCCAACTTGACCGCTAGTGTGCATTTTTTCGTAGGGACAGTTGAAGTATAAATACTTAAGTTACACCCTTTTCAGCAGTTTAAACTTTTGGAATAGATGATTGTTTAATATGATATCAGAACAAAAGACATTGTATTCGAATCTCGTCGCCACTCTAATTATTAAAAATATTTTTACATGTTTTGGAATAAATAATTATTTAACATGGATGAGTTTGAATTGGTCAAAATTAAGCTCAACTTAGAACAATTCGATACTTTTGAATAGGGTGTTCCAGTGAGGTATTGACCGAACTTTTCACTCTTATCTTGTTGTATATCTAAAAAATAACATTAACATGATAAACTTAAAAGATCGTGTGTTAAAAGTCGACGCATATTTACTTTTGTGACTGAAAAATTATTTGGGCGACAATTTTTTTTGTCGTCCACAAAATTAATATTTAGCGTCAACATTGGCGCCAATTTTTTTTAGAGGGAACATTTTTGTGAAAAATATTGATAACGACTACAAAAAATAGTCTCTAAAAATATCATAAAAAAATTTAACACGAGAAATATTTGAAATTGTCGCCGAAACTCATTTTTTTACAATAAATTTTATTGTTCACGGCCAAAACTCGTCGCTAAAAAAAAAATTTGTTATAGTGAATACATAAGGATTACAAACCATCTACCGCGTAGATAAAAGGGTAGGTGAAAGTGTTGCCATGAGGTTAACAAGAAAGATTAATTTTCTTGATTTTTTCATATATATTTTTATTGTTGTTTTCTATTATAAATCTATACTATATGTTCAAATTAATCAAATAAGGTGGAACGTGGCTTGTGAGGCCTTCCCTCCCACTTTTTTTTCTTAGAATTTTTGATTATATAATTACCACATGATTTTGACAAATTATTTTCTAACACATCTCCCATGTAACTATCTCTTCACCTCATTAATTAACTACCTCTCATTTAATTTTTTTTTTTTTTTCAAAAAATAAGCCAACAATTGATTTAAAAAAAATATTTTACCACCCTAACTTTTCATAATTTTTCTATCAACCTAACATTTCAAAATCTTATGTCTGACTTTTCAAATGGTAGGATGACAAGAAAAAAAAGAAAGAGAAAGGAAGACAGGGAGGGATGGGGATGCCTAGAATTTCCATGGATCGCAGGGGACAGTGGCTATTATATAAATAAGGAGGAGTTGGTTTTCAAGTTCCAAGTACCATTTTTGAACTATAAAATGATTAAGCTGACTCTTGCATGTCTCTTTTGTATTATAAAATGCTTAAGCAGTTATGCAATGGCCGAAATGGCTATTTTATGAGACTAGTGGTGTACCCTAGGGGACCATTCACACTTTTCTGGGTTCCATAAACATATACACAGTCAATTCAAGCATGCTATTCAATCTCTAGACCAGGCTTAGGGCGTTAATCGAGATGAGGAGCGGCTCAAGTTGACTATCGTATAATCTCAACTCAACTTCTAGACTATTTGTTTGAGTTTGGCTTATTTTGTGGACAAAATATAAAGTCTTATTGTGACTCGAAACCGATAATTTTTTTTATTAGAAATTAAAAATTGTATCATTAAGCAAAGGGTGCCTCTTTTTTTTTTTTTCTACCAGAATTTCTTATATTACCTAATGAGTGATTGAGCTTTAGCAGGTAGAGTGGCATAATTCTAAGGCGGGACTTGATATTAAAGGAGTTGAAAAGTTTTGTCATGTTCAGTTTATTTATTAATTCAAATGAGTTTGAATAGACCAAAATAATTGTTCAAGATGGAGGGGTTCGGTTTATTGAACAGCCCGAATGCTGTAAGTAGAACTAAAGTTTAATGCGGTGTTGGTTTATGCATTTCCAAACCAATTTTATCTTCTTTTTTTTTTTTTTTTCTTGATTGCCGGTAATAAGATTTGAACCTTGACCCCTCATCAAATAATCAATTATATTACGACCTCTAGAAACTAGATGAAAAAAAGATTTGACATTGTTGTTCAATAGAAGATATTGTTTAAACCTTTCATTCTGTCATCAAAGATACCCCAATTTGAAGAATGCATAGAAGATCAAAAGGCATAACATTATCGATCGGAAGTGAACCTTTATCACTATGCCACTCTCTCACCTCTTGGTTCACAACAATTGCACGATATGTACTATAAGTATAAACACTGTAAAGGCATAAAAATTAAAAAATAATAATAATTATTGTATAATGGGTATAAGGGTTTCCATGATGTTAACAGGTAGTAGGATTAATGAATTTTTTTTTGGTCATTAGGAAGATTAATTATTGCATCAATGTTTAGTTTTTAATTTGTATCCCAAAATAAATAAATAACGAGAGTCGGTATTGTTTGCATGGAAGAACTATGATCCAAGTTCATGGATATGCCTGACGTGTAATCCAAGTTGGCGGGCCAATGCTGCAAAAAGAAAAAGTATTTTCTACCACTTGTTTAAACAAAGTAACCTTTTAATATCTTAAAAAAAAGAAAAAGTTTTCATGCCACTTGTTTGAAATTTTTTTTTTTTTTTTTATTCTAAAGCACGTTGAAAGACTACTAATTTTTAAGAAAAACAACACTTCACCCCCTAAAAGATATTTAAATTCTCAATTCTGACCCTTAAAGGTTAAAATTCTCAAATTGTACCATCAATTAAATTAAAAATATAGCAATGTCATCTATTTTGATAGAATTGAGCACAAAATTTTCATGAAAAGTATCTACAATTGAGTATTATGCAAACAATTGTTTATATGAACAAGACAATATGCTAAATGCAGAAGAAAATTTATTGAAAAAGGTAATAGACATTTGATTTTGAACCACATTGATACCTTTTTTTCTAATTAGGAGTGATGTAAGAATTTTAATTTTTTAAGGTATAAATTAAAATTTTAAGAATCTTTCTGAGTGCAAAATGTTATTGACCCTAATTT